GCCGCTCCTCACTCCTCCGAGTTCCCTCCGAACGAGGCTCCCCTGCAGACTCTTCACATGGACGTGTGGGGCCCAGCCCGCGTCCGTGGACAGGGTCACGAGCGTTACTTCCTGCTGGTCGTTGACGACTACTCGCGTTACACCACAGTCTTCCCCTTGCGCAGCAAGGGTGAGGTCACTGAGGTGTTGATCGACTGGATCCGCGGTACCCGTCGCCAGCTCAGCGAGAGTTTCGGCTCGGACCTTCCTGTTCTGCGTCTGCACTCAGACAGAGGTGGTGGATTTTCCTCCGACCTTCTGAGGGCCTTCTGGCGTGGGGAGGGCATCCACCAGACGTTCACGCTTCCGGCCTCCCCACAGCAAAATGGGATTGCTGAGTGCCGCATTGGCATGGTCATAGACGTCGCTCGTACGTCCATGATCCATGCGGGTGCTCCCCATTTTCTGTGGCCGTTCGCGGTTCAGTACGCTGCGCATCAGATCAACCTTCAGCCTCGTGTCTCCTTGCTGGAGACCACACCTACTCAGCGGTGGACGGGGAAGGTTGGCGATGCGTCTGTGTTCTGTGTCTGGGGATCTCGAGCTTTTGTCCGCGATACTTCCGCGGACAAGCTGTCCTCCCGTGCCGTTCCCTGCGTCTTCCTTGGCTTCCCCCCTGACGCACTTGGGTGGCAGTTTTACCACCCCACCTCGCGTCGTGTTCTGTCCTCTCAGGACGTCACGTTTGACGAGTCAGTATCTTACTACCGTCTCTTTCCCTACTGCACTCCCTCTCTCCCCCCCCCCCCGCCACTCTTCCTCACACCAGTTGCTCCTCCGGTAGACCCCCTCCCCCCTCAGGGTCCTGCCCCCTCAGGTGTGTCCCAGGTAGACCCTGTCGAGCCTGTCAAGGTAGCTGTCGACTCAGGTGCTGCTAGGGGTGCTAAGCCTGCGGGTGCAGGGATTGGGGGTGTTGAGCCTGGGGTTGCTATGTCTGAGGGTGCGGAGCCTTGGGGTGCTGAGCCTGGGGGTGCTGAGTCTGGGAGTGCTGAGCCTGGGGGTGCTGAGCCGGAGCGTGCTGAGTCTGGAGGTCCTCCGGGTGTCCCGTCACGGCGGGAGCCCCTCTCTCCGCAGCAGCTTCGTGAGTGGTACGCTCGGCGCTGTTGCCGTGCTGCTAGTGCTGGAGCTGCTGGAGGTGCTTCTGGAGCTGCTGGAGGTGCTTCTGGAGCTGGGGCTGCTGGAGGTGCTGCTGGTGCTGGAGCTGCTGGAGGTGCTTCTGGAGCTGCTGGAGGTGCTGCTGGTGCTGGAGCTGCTGGTGCTGGAGGTACTGGCACTGTTGGAGGTCCTGCTGGTGTTGGAGCTGCTGGGGGTACTGGAGTAGCCGGTCCCGGAGGTGCTCGTACTGGAGGTACTGGAGCTGCTGGGGCTGGTGGTGCTGCAGGAGTTGGAGCTGCAGGTGCTGGAGCTGTTGCTACTGGAGGTGCTTCTGGAGCTGGAGCTGTTGGAGGTACTGGAGCTGGTGGTGCTGCGGGAGTTGTAGCTGGAGACCCTAGAGGTGAGGGTACTGGTGCTGTCTGTGCTATTTCTGGAGGCGCTGCACGGCCGCGGCCATACTACGTTCCGCTCCTTCAGCTGGTTCTTGGTCTCCCGCCTTCTACTGGTCCTACTCCTCCTTTACTGAGTCCACCGCCTGTCCAGTCACAGTCGCAGATACAGCCGGCCTCTCCACTGCCTGGTCCTTCTCCTTACTCTGGACCGACTAGAGGTCTTACAGAGCGTCGTGAGCCTGAGTCTCGTCCAGTGTCGCCAGAGTCTCGTCCTGCATCACCTGAGTCTCGTCCTGAGTCGCCGGTCCGCGCTGTTCGCACTGGTCGTCGTGTTCCGAGTCCGCGTACTCCTCCTGTCCCCGGCACTCACTCTATGACTCTGCGTCCTTCCACTGCTCCACAGCGTGTCCCTCTGCCGTCTCCTCCTGCGTCCTCTCTTCCTGACGATCCGGACCCGGAGTCTGACTCCCTTCGTGCTGCTAGTCCTATTGTCACGCATTTTCTGGCCACCGCTGTCACTGACCCTTTGTTTGAGTCCACTGCTGCGTCTGCTCTCGTTGCTGAGCTTGTTGACTTTGCTGCAGCCTGTCGTCTAGACTACGCCACTAGTCTTATTGCTGACTCTGCGTCTGCGTCTGTCTGTCCTCCGTCCGTCAGGGGTGAATGTGCTCTTGGCACGGACGTCCTTGAGGACAGACAGGAGGAGTTTGAGTGCTTTGCCGCTGCTGTACCTCATCTCGTGTCCATGCTGTTTGCCCTTGAGGGAGACCCGGATGCACCAAACATTCCGAACCCGCGCTCTTACGCAGAGGCGATAGAGGGTCCCTACTCCTCTCAGTGGCAGGCAGCCATGGACGCCGAGATGGCTTCCAGGAAGTCCACAGGCACCTACGTCGACGAGGTTCCCCCGCCTGGGGCGAACATCGTCAGTGGCATGTGGATCTTCAGGGTGAAGCGGCCGCCGGGTTCTCCGCCTGTCTTCAAGGCGTGTTACGTTGCACGAGGCTTCAGTCAGCGACAGCGAGTTGACTTCTTCCATACCTTCTCCCCTACCTCGAAGATGACCACTCTTCGGGTGCTGCTGCACGTTGCCGCTCAGCGTGACTACGAGTTACACTCGCTTGTCTTCAGCACAGCCTTCCTACAGGGCAGCCTGCACGAGGAGATCTGGTTGCATCGCCCACCTGGCTTCACTGGGTCGTTTCCTGTTGGTACCCAGTGGAGCCTCCGGTGGCCAGTCTACGGTCTCCGCCAGGCACCCCGTGAGTGGCACGACACACTGAGGACGACTTTTGCTGCTCTTGGTTTTGCTCCTTCCACTGCTGACCCGTCGCTGTTTCTACGCACTGACACCACTCTGCCGCCGTTCTACGTTCTCGTGTACGTAGACGACTTGGTCTTTGCTACTGCTGACACTGAGGCACTCGCCCACGTGAAGTCGGAGCTGTAGAAGAGACACACGTGCACAGACTTGGGTGAGCTGACAAGCTATCTTGGCTTGCGGATCACCCGGGACAGAGCACAGCGCACCATTACCTTGACTCAGTCACACATGGTGCAGCAGGTCCTTCAGCGCTTCGGCTTCACGTACTCCTCGCCACAGTCCACTCCTCTGCCTACCGGTCACTCGCTCTCAGCTCCACCTTCGGACGAGTACGTAGAGCCGAGTGGCCCATAGCCAGAGCTTGTGGGCTGCCTCATGTACCTGATGACTTGCACACGACCTGACCTCGCGTACCCTCTGAGCCTTCTGGCTCGCTACGTGGCTCCCGGTATGGACCGAAAGGTGCACTGGGATGCTGCGAAGAGGGTGTTGCGCTACTTGTGCAGTACGTCGGGCATGGGGCTCGTGCTTGGAGGATGGGCTCGAGTTGTCCTCACTGGTCACGCAGACGCTTCCTGGGTTGACGACTTGGCCACGCAGCGGTCGTCACAGGGTTACACCTTCAGCCTTGGCTCCGGTTCTGTCTCTTGGCGGTCTACCTGCTCGTCTTCTGTTCTCAGCTCCAGTTGTGAGGCTGAGATCTACACTGGGGCCATGGCTGCACAGGAGTTACGCTGGCTCACCTACCTGCTGACCGACTTGGGAGAGGCGCCTCGTTCTCCTCCAGTTCTGTACGTCGACAACAAGGATATGCTTGCCTTGTGTCAGGAGCACAGACTAGAGCACAGAACGAAGCACATTGCTCTGTGCTACTTCCTTGCTCGAGAGTTGCAACAGCGTGGTCAGCTTCGTCTTGCTTACGTGGCCTGTCGGGCCAACACTGCTGATGTTTTCACCAAGGCACTTCAGCCTTGTGATCATCAGCGTTTCTGTATTGTTCTAGGCCTTGTACCTACTGTGCCTCACTTGCTTACTTCTTGACTCTTCTTGTACTGTGATCTCTATACATATACCTGCATGCTTACACTTGCTAGGTTGTGTTCACTGTATTGCTTGTTCTCCTTTATATAACTCTGCATGTGAACTGGCCTTGTGGCCATTTGCTTGTGCTCAGACTGCGTGGTGACTTTGTGATCCACCCTGAGCTTGCTTTGCCTTTCTTGACTGGTCTTGTGACCTCTTGTTCTCCCCCACTTTGCCTATGGGGGTGTGTCAAACTTATATGCTATAGTCTGTTTAGGCTGTAGTGGGGTAGCTCATATAGGGTACAACACTTTAGGTTTCTTACTTGTACCCACCTGCTTGCTAGTTCAGTCATTCATTCGTTCACTATTCTAACACGCACATCCCACCGTGGACGTGCCCAGGCTTATGCCCCTTGAGTGCAGCACGGCGACCCATTAGCCATGCATGGCTCGTGGCACGTCGGACACTGCGCCGCCGCAGGAGAACACATGCATAGCAGCACAAGCATAGGGGGTTGCGTGAAGCGCGGCAAAATCGGAGTCGCTCACGACCATAGCCCTCCGTGACCTTGCGCTGGTGCTCATTCCCTTGTCCGTTCCTGCGTTCCTTCCTGCTCTCTCTTGCACTTAGAATTTTCCGCTCCCTAGCTATCTTCATGAGTGTGGGTTACTCGTGTGCCGACCAATCGATCACGTCGGCACCGGTAGCATCTATCTATCATACACTACACAGGTCGGTGTTTAGGCAACCGAACGGTCAGAACGCGTCGACGTCGACGTCAGATGTTTTAGGGCAGCACCTCGGCATAGTATCAACAGCTCTACCGACCAAGCAAGACGGGACGAAAGAAACTAACTAGGTCGGCGACGCATGGCCAGAGGACGGCCTAGAGCCCAACAGCCGCAACCCATCCCACCCCCTGCCGACCCTGTAGACGCCGACATCAAAGCGCAGCTGGAACGCCTCGAGCTCACCGCTGAGTTAGAAGCACTTGAGAGAGAATCCGACGAAGACGCCTGAGAAACTCATCGGGTGTACACCGCACCCGCGACACAGTACCGTCTCTGGTGGTCCATCCTTTACCTCGAACACGGTCGACGGTATAGCAAACTACGAGCGGCCGCATGGCCGATGTCGACATGTCGGACGTTGGTCCCCCAACCGACCACATTCAGACCTCTACCCCCGAAGAGACGCTCAAGTTACTCTACGATCTTGACACAGTGACACAGATTCCAGAAGGGGAGTTCACCAAGGACATTCCCCCACCGCCGATACGGGAGTTTACCAAGCCAACTAGTAAGTCGACACCGACGCAAGATGGGCAGCCTGGAGCTTTGTCGGTACCGGCCGGCTCAGGAAACCAGGTTGATGACGATGACGAGGAGGAGGAGGAGAGCGACGACGAATACAACGAGCGTCCTCCGCGAAGCACCAATCCGCGCACCTTGGAAGAACGCCTCCGGCGGGAACTTGAATACATAGATAACATGCTCGAACAGGACGAGGAGGAGGACGAGCAGAACATGGTGGTGCCACGCGAACAGTGGAGAGCGGCAGACTTCGTCAAGGACGACATGGTTTATGCAAGCATCGACGTGCTGGTCATAGACGCCCTACGCCACATACAAACCTTGGAGAAGAATAGCATGCTGAGGCTGTACACCTCGTTCATCTACCACTACAAGAGGTGGGCGGCGAAAATGCTGAAGCAAATACGCGACAAGCTTCCCCAGGAGCATAGGCTTAGGCACGTCGACAAGATCGGCCACTACATCCGGGACAACAAAAAGAAGAATTGGGACCAAGTGGCCGAGGTCCTCCGGGAGTACATCTGGCTGCACGACCCTAGGGTAACCGAAACCCGGCTGCGCGCCTACGTGAAGTTCATGATACGTGAGTGTAAGCTCGATGCTGAGTCGATCGAGGAGGGGAACAATGCCTCGCGAACCCGGCCTGTGCAAGGTACAACGGTGCACACGCTCCTCGGGCGCATAAAGGCATGCCAGATGGCGGTGAGAGTGGAGGCGACGCTCTACCAGGAGAAGGAGCTGAGCATCATGCGGGAGATATCGGTGGTCAGATCGGAGGTGCGGTTCATGGTCCGCACCAAGAACGAGAGGGATGTCAAGTAAGTTTGTCGACACCACCAACCTCTGTCCACGTCACTCTGAAGTCGACGCCGTCAAACTAAAAATACTATGTGGCTTTGTGGGCAGGAATTGTGCCGACCGGCGTCGCGGCACCATCGGCAATACCTACACCGCCGAACAGTTCCGCCAGATCATGATGAAGGTGCTTCCGACATGGGCGGCATCGGCGTGGAACCCGCGGGCAACCGCTCCTTCGCAGACGCTGTGGCGATTTCTACTCACCAAGGCGCTCACGCTACTCTCCCACCACACTCTCCTGCGAGGCGCCAGCATCCGCGAGATCACGCTCCCCGACATCTTCTTGTACCGACTGGCTAGCACCTCGTCGATGAACCCGGAGAACCAGCCGGTCGTCATGGTGATCGCCGCGCGGAACTCGAAGACTTCCAAGGATGCCCGTCTTCAGCAGAGCTACGCGGCGCGACACCTGGAAGCGGAGTTGTGCACCGTCGGCGAGACCGGCCTGTGGCTGCACTTCATCCTCGACCAGATCGGTCAGTTCAACGGCGTCGACTTCCTTCCGCCGCTAGACACCACCGAACGCGAGCGCTGGTACAAGAAGCACCTCTTCTTCGCCCGCAATGACAAGGAGCAAAAAGAGCTCTCCGCCGCCAGCCACCAACGTTGGACACGGCAAATGTGGACGATCAACAAGGTGTTCTGCAAGCGGAACGTGCACGCCGCTCGCGCCGGAGGTGCGCAGGAGCTGGCCATCGAAGGGACGCCTCGCACTGAGATCGCCGAGCTGGGTCACTGGGCACTCGACAAGATGACGCGTGCTTACATCACAGCCATTCCCGTTGGGGTGGTGATGAGGAAGGCCGGCTACTCGGGTTGCAAGCAAGACTACTTCTTGGGTCGCAGCAGGGTCGAGCCCTCCGACAAACTCTTGGACATCATCGCCGATCACATCTTCCCCGGCGTGGATGCTCTGCTACGCGATGTATGTTAGTCGACGCCGACAATGTCCTTGCGTCGCCATAGCTTCGTTGGCTGCCCAACACCTTACTAACCCACATCACTTGCCGACGTATAGGCGGAAACGAGTGCTGCCAAAGGGAGCGACGCCGACAAAGCCGCCGTGCACTTCTGGCGTACCCTCCAGATGATGCGCCGCATCGTCGCCGAGGACCTCGCGGTGAAGCTCGTCCGCACCACTTGGCACCCGTACGTCCAAGGTTCCAAGCTCTACCAGATTGCCCGTTTTAGCACTGGGCGAAACGGGTCGAGAAGATCGACACCGAAACGATCAACAAACGCCGGGACCCAACCCTCATTCAGCCAGAGGTAAACCGTCGCTAAATTCGGCGTCGATCTGTTACGGGTGTATTCTAAACTATTTTCGCCTTTTCGCCTTTCCGCCTTGTGCTGCAGGAAATCTCCGTCCGCTTGGACACCGAATATCATAACATGTCCCTCAAGGAGACGCTGAAGTACGAAAGGGAGCGCTCCGCGGTCGAGAAGATTGACCTTCAGGAGGAGATCGAGAAGCGAGACGATACCATCGCGACGCTGACCTCCGAGATAACCCGTCTCACCGAGGCACTCCGTGTGTCAGACGCACGGAGGATGCCGGCGGCGCCGCCGTCGGGGAACGAGCAGGCGCCGAGCGAAAGTGGCTCCGCGGATTCGGCCAGTACGGGGGCCGGAGCCAAGAAACGGGATGAGAAACCCCCAAAACCCCCACAGACACTCAACGAGGCTCGTTACGAGCTCAACGTGGTGCAACCTTGGCGGGAGGCAAAGACCGTGAGGGACGCTTGGCGCCTCTGGAACTCCGCCACCGCCGATGATACCCGTCGTCTTTGCGACAGGGTCGCCGAGCCAGGATTCGTCGACCGCCACACCCTCCTCAAAGGCGTGACGCAGGGTGCACACGACATGAAGGTGTGCCGCATGCTGAAGGCCATGGATGCAGTGCGCCTTCTTCGCCCGAGCGACAGCGATGCCGACACCGAAGCCGTCGTCGCTGCCCTGAACAAGATCGCGGCTGTTATAGTCACAATAGGCTTGAATGTGCCTAAAACGAAAGATAGAGAGCATAGACGGATTTCTGCACAGCGGCTTCAAACGTTGATAGCGTTCTGCTCACAGCTGCAAATGACTTGATTCAAATTGGATCTGGAGCGTCTTCACGTCGTCTACAATTAGCAATTTAGATTGCACGATTTGATAAAGAATTGACGACACAGCGTCGGTTTGAACGAACGGTACTATGGCAGCCACTATAGTCTTAGAACACAAGATAGGAAGAGTTACGAGTTGGGAATGACTCCCAGCTCCTACAAACCCCAAGAGCCGAGGTACAGTGATGTGGAACAGTGCCACACTGTCCCCAACCACGAAGGGTCTCGAAACTACCCTTCACTAGGGCCTACACCAAGTGAAATGTTACACTACACAAAGTAATGTAACTATCTTCAATATCTTGAGGTGTACCCTTTTGGCAAGCTTCGAAATCACTTGAGGCTTGACACCAAGGCTCGGGCTCTTCATCACAAACTCATCCTTGAGTTCTTGATGGGTCTGCTGCACACACCTGCGACACGCCGAACGTTCGACACAGGACAAAATAGAAACCGCGCACGACAAAATAGAAACCGCGCGCGAGACACAAACGACCGCGTAACACGCGTCTAGCGATAACTCGCTATTGACTCGACACACACACTCGACATCATGACTCAACATTCACACACAATTATAAGCATGAAATATATATTATCCCATGCCCTCATACCATTCCATACACACACACATTCACGCACACGGACAACAAGCCGAGTGCAAACCGTAGGGTTGCACCAACAAACTCCCCCTCGGATTGTTGGCCTTAGGATATGTTGCTCTCTCAGTTCAGAGCCATCCCAGCCAGCTTGCAACACTTCCAATGCTGCTGCTCCACCAGCCTCTTGGTCATCATGTCAGCCGGCTGCCCCGTGGTCTTCACGTAGCGCAACTCAACTTCACCCGCGGTTACCATGCTCCTCGTCCAATGCCACTTCACCCTCATGTGCTTCGTGAGTCCATGCAACACAGGGTTCTTAGCAAGAGCAATGGCACCCTGGCTGTCACAGTACAGTGGGGTAGGTCCTTGCTGCTCCTCCCCCAATTCAGCCAACAAACGCCGCTGCCACACAATCTCCCGTACGGCACGGAAGAGTGCCATGTACTCGGACTCCACCGAGCTCAAAGCTTGGTCAACCTGCTTCTTGCTCTCCCAAGCAGTTGGGCCTCCACCAACACAGCATATGAAGCCTCCCACACTTGTCATGTCCTCTGGTTCTGATGCATATGAAGCATCCGAGTAGGCGGTGAGGAACAAACGCCCGGGTTCAACACCATCCGCGCCCTTTTGGCGCCTTTGTGCCGCCGCCGAGTATTGCAGCCCAACGGTCGGTGTTTGGCCAAGATACTTGGCCACCCTCATTCCACCTGCTACCTGCTCCTCATTAGGGCATTGCACAACCCTAGCCAGCTGCCCGGTAGCAAACGCGACGTCCGGTCGGGTGTTTACCGCCGCATACATGAGGCTGCCCACCAACGAGTGAAATCGGCGCCTCTCCTCTTCACCAACGCTCTCCTCCTCTGGTCCCTTCACACACTTGAACCCAGAGGGAAAGGGTGTAGCCACATGGCCTTCACTCTGCCCAAAGTTGGCAGCCAATGCCTCCAGGTACTTTCGTTGATGCACCCGCATGCACCGCTTCTCCACATCTCGTTCGATGTGGAGCCCAAGGTAGAAGCTCACGTCACCAAGGGCCTTGCACTTGAACTTGTCTTGAAGCTTCAGCATCACCTCCTTCACAAGGTCAGAAGAGGGTGAGAAAATGAGGATGTCATCCACATAAACCACCATGAAACTCCTCTGCTCCCCCTCGCCAAGCATGAACAAGGAGTGATCGGCCGTTGAGGGAGTGAAGCCGATCCCCTCCAACACTTCGCGCAGCTTCATGTACCATTGCCTAGGGGCCTGCTTCAGCCCATAGAGGGCCTTCTTCAGCTTCCACACTCTGCCACTACCATCATCAAACCCCTCTGGCTGCGCCATAAAAATCTCCTCCTCAAGGATGCCGTTAAGGAATGCCGTTACGATGTCCATTTGCTTTACTACCTATCCTTTGATGGCGGCTCCCGCGAATAGGGTTCGCAGCGTCGTCGGCTTCACCACAGGGGCAAACAGCTCCTTGAAGTCCACCTTCTCCTTCTGCTGGTACCCCTTGGCTACAAGCCTAGACTTGTAGCGCTCGATCTTGCCGTCGGCATCCGACTTGATTTTGAAGAGCCACTTGGACGTTATCGCCGTACGCCCCTCCGGTAGCTCCACCAATTCAAACGTGTCATTCTCCTCGATGCTCTTCAGCTCACTCTCCATGGCCTTCTTCCACTCCTCAGCATCACTACTCTCCAAAGCCTCCTTGAGAGTTGCTGGTTCTCCCGGCATCTCCACCGGAGAGAAGAACGCGAAGGCACACTCCTCGTAGTCACTCTCCTCGTCGTCTCCGACCATCATTGCCGCTCCGGCCAGGGCTGTCTTGCCCTGCTTTCCCGGCGCATCATAGGTCAGCCTATTAGGGGGTTGAACTCTCCTCTTCCCCCTTCCTTCCTCCTCAGCTGCAGGGACTTGAAGGCCTTGGCGTTGCTGCGGTGTGGCTCGAATCCGTGGAGCACTCGTAGTACGGGAAGGGAGTGACGGTGCACGCTCGCTCACTTGCTGCACCTCCTCTTCTTCTTCCTCTGCATCATTGGCCTCCTCTCCCCCATTCACAAGGGAGGATTGCCTTGTGGTTGTGCTGCCGCTGCTCAGCTCCAAAGGCAGCTCCACATGCTCCAAACCGGAACTCTTCACCTCCCCAAACCGCACGCCTATCTTCGCCTCATTCTCCGCCTTCCAATCCTTGTACATGAAGTTCTCCATGAACTTGCAGTCCCTGCTCACCAAGAACTTCTTGGTGAATGGGTCCCAAAGAAGCCATCCCTTGCTGTTTTGAGCCATGCCCAAGTGCACGGCCCACACCGCCTTGGCACCAAGCTTGTTGTGCCGAAGATGCTTAGGCACGAGCGCCATGCACATGCACCCGAACACCCGAAGCATATCCACCTTTGGCTTCCTTCCTAGCCACTCCACATAGGGCACCCATTTGTCTGCTCCCACATGAGTCAAGGCTCTGTTCTTGGCCACACACGCGCTCCGCACCGCATCAGGCCAGAAATAGTCGGGTAGCCCGGCTTCAATGAGCAACCCGCGTGCCGCCTCCGTGATTGTGCGGTTCGCTCGCTCGGCGATGCCGTTCATTGCAGGGGAGTATGGCATGGTGAGGGAGTGCCGAATACCATTCTTCTTCAGCCACAACCCAAACTCCTTGCTCAGGAACTCTCCCCCTCGATCGGTGCGGATTGACTTGACTAGACGGTCTTGTTGCCGCTCCACCATCGGGAACCAATCCGTCTTCAACGTTTCAGCCACGTCGCTCTTCTTGGCCAGCACGTACACCCAAGTCATGCGGGTGTAGACGTCGACAATGGTGAGAAAATACTCAGCTCCAGCAGCTCCAAGCTTCAGGGGGCCCACCACGTCCATCACCACCTCATCAAGCGGTGCCTTTGCCGTTGCCTCCGAACTAGGGAACGGAAACCGGGTGAACTTGGCTTGAATGCACGTCGGGCAGCCAAGCACCTCATCGGGCTCCCCCTTCACACGTATGCCAGCAACCATCTCATTCTTCACTAGCTGCTGCAAGATGGGCAGGGCCACATGCCCCATGCGCCGATGCAAGGTGAGCCAATCACACTCCCCCGTAGCCGAAGTTGGATTGGAGAATGCCGCGCTCGCAATAGCGCCCCACATACTCTCTCCGTAGTCCTCCTCCGCTGCTGCCTCTGGGTTCTCCTCACCCTTTTGCTGCTCCTTGGTTGCTGCACCACTCTCCTTAGGTTCACTGAACTTGCTGGTCCCTCCAGGTTTGCTCTTCTTGAGCTCATTCTCCTTAGCGCGACCGTTCGCGCCATCGTCGCTACCGACCGCTCCATCCTTGGTGCTGATGCTTGCTGCCACTTGCCTCTCCTTAGGCATAGGGACCACTGGGATCTGCCACATCTCGTTGTAGACATCCCTGTCCTCATGAAGGTCCCAAAGAATTCGATCGCCAAGCCTTGCGGTGTAGGTCTTGGCTCCCTTCGAGTTCGTGTCCATGCCGGCCTTTGCCAACCGCCGCACGGAAATCAGGTTTGCAGCAAGGCTGGGCACCCAAAGCACGTTCTTGAGGCCCACCATCTTCCCATCAGCACCCTTGAACATGGCCTTGCCCATGCCTTTCACCTCTGCTCGCTGCCCCAAAGCCGATGTGACATGCTTCACCGGTGACGGCTCGAGTTCGGTGAGCAAGTCCGGGCGAGGTGTCATGCTATAGGTAGCGCCACTATCAATCACCCAATAGTCCAGGGGGTGTAGGGTCACCTTCCCCACAGCTGCTGGCTCCTCAAAGCCTTCATCCTTCTCTGGACCAGCCGGTACTTGCGTCGACACGAAGTAGAATAGACCCGGGTATCGATCGTCGCTCGGGTCCTTGTCGTTGTCTCCGCTCTTCATGTTTGCAGCTCCGCCACCGCGACCGCCACGGCCTCCACGGCCTCGTCCTCTCCCTCCTCCTGCTCCTCTACCCTCTTGGCCTTGAGCAGGGGTCCAACCATCAGGGAGTTTGTAGCAGTCGCGCCACATGTGTCCGCTCTTGTGGCAATAGTGACACTCGCCGTCGAATCGGCCGCGACCGCGTCCGTAGCTCTTGTCGTCGCTGCCGTAACCGCCACTCCTGCGGCCTCCGCCGAAGTTGCTGCCACCAAACCTTCCTCCCCCTCGTCCTCTGCCTCTTCCTCGACCATATCCACGGCCGATGCTCGCTGCCCCAGCGCCATCCGCACTCGCCAACTCACGGCGGCGGAAATCCTCTTGAAGGATAGCTCGCTTCACGTCTTCAAGCGAGAGGCGGGGCAAGTCGCGATTAAGGTTGATGATGAGCGAGGACCATGACTCTGAGAGTAAGGCCAGCAACTTGGTCTTCTTTTGGAGCTCACTGTAGTTCAAATCAGCTCCCTCAAGCCGCGTCAACAAGTCGAAGAATTTCTGCACCCCTTCTTCAACCGCTTCGTCTTCTTCAATTCGTAGTGCCGCCATTTGCCGTTCCAACACCACCGCTACCGCCGCTGTTGCAGGAGCATGTACACCCTTGAGAGCAGCCCATGCCTTTGGTCCTTTCTCTGGTTCACGCTGGAATGGCTTGATGTGACGGATCTGACTGCTCCCCAACGCTTGCCCAAGTAAGAGATAGCCTTGTGCGCTCTTCCGCACCCACGGGCTCTTCTCCGGGTCGTTCTCGGGGCGCTTCTCCGTTCCTTCCATCACCTCCAGCAGGTCATAGTGGTCAAAGATGTTCTCCATCTTGAAGGACCATTCAGCAAAGTTGTCACCGTTGAACTTGTCAAGCCCAAACACCCTAGGCTCATCCCTAGGTGGGCCAAGACTTGGTTGCATGGGCGCCATGGCTGAATCACGGGGTTGGCCTTGAGCTTGAGCTTCTCCACTGCCACCAGCACCTCTGCCACCCCTTTCCTCAGGTCCAGACATTGTCGAAACTGCTCCAAGGGGCTCTGATACCACTTGTTATAGTCACAATAGGCTTGAATGTGCCTAAAACGAGAGATAGAGAGCACAGACGGATTTCTGCACAGCGGCTTCAAACGTTGATAGCGTTCTGCTCACAGCTGAAAATGACTTGATTCAAATTGGATCTGGAGCGTCTTCACGTCGTCTACAATTAGCAATTTAGATTGCACGATTTGATAAAGAATTGACGACACAGCGTCGGTTTGAACGAACGGTACTATGGCAGCCACTATAGTCTTAGAACACAAGATAGGAAGAGTTACGAGTTGGGAATGACTCCCAGCTCCTACAAACCCCAAGAGCCGAGGTACAGTGATGTGGAACAGTGCCACACTGTCCCCAACCACGAAGGGTCTCGAAACTACCCTTCACTAGGGCCTACACCAAGTGAAATGTTACACTACACAAAGTAATGTAACTATCTTCAATATCTTGAGGTGTACCCTTTTGGCAAGCTTCGAAATCACTTGAGGCTTGACACCAAGGCTCGGGCTCTTCATCACAAACTCATCCTTGAGTTCTTGATGGGTCTGCTGCACACACCTGCGACACGCCGAACGTTCGACACAGGACAAAATAGAAACCGCGCACGACAAAATAGAAACCGCGCGCGAGACACAAACGACCGCGTAACACGCGTCTAGCGATAACTCGCTATTGACTCGACACACACACTCGACATCATGACTCAACATTCACACACAATTATAAGCATGAAATATATATTATCCCATGCCCTCATACCATTCCATACACACACACATTCACGCACACGGACAACAAGCCGAGTGCAAACCGTAGGGTTGCACCAACAGCGGCGCCGGGCATCGGGACTTTCTGCGATGCCCTCACGGTGCTCAAACCGGGAACCGCACCGATGAAGTCCAAGGAGCCTGGCATGGACGTCAAGGGGCTGGGCCCCAAGTCGGTCTCGAAGCTTCGTCTCGCCTGTGCACTGGTGGCGGTCAACTTGAAGCCGAGCGCTTGGGTCGTCGTCCTGTTTCCAGACACCTGGGAGGAGCAGATGCCGAAGACCGTGGCCGACATGGACAAGCAGACCGCACCTGCGCTGCGTCCTCCGACGAAGCGCAAGAAGGCGGCATGAATACCTTTGGAGCATATTCGTGTGCGTAGTTTGATGATGTTGTAATTGTGGTCGATTTTACCAAACCATGATGCGTATATTGTTCAGGAAGTTGGTAAACAAGATGATCCCAAGGCACAGAACAGGGCCCATGCGAACCTAGATGATCCAACAATGGTAACTTCAGTCGGTCGTCGACCAACAAACAACCCGAATATACTTGCAGACAGCCAAACCCTCTATGTCCACAGACACCAAACGACGCCGACGTATTGTCGGACTCCGACATATACGCAGACAAGGTTCATCCCCAAGTAGCATGTGAGTATGCAATTCAGACGGTAGCGATCAGGTTGACATCGCCGACGAGGGTTCTAGTTTCATGCACTACCAAAAAGTTACATGCACTACCACATAAGCAACCACAAGCAAAAGATCCAACAAAAGAACAACGCAATCGGCGCCGGCAAGACCAAACTGTTATACACCCTAGAAATCAGACCACCTAGCGCTCCCTCCGTGCGCCGACTACGCCGCCGTGCTGTCGTTGCCCTTCCTGCCCTTCTTCCCTTTCTTCCCCGTACTGTCCTTGCCATGCTTGCCCCTCTGCCCCTTCCTCCCCCTGTGTTCAATATCGTACTCCATCTGCGCGTCACACGGCACCGCGATGCCGATCTCTTCGAGTTTCGGCCCGGCGACGGGGCACACTCCCAAGAACGCCAAGGTCTCCACCGTCGCTCTAGCGATCACGTAGGCTTCGACTTCGTTATCCACCCCCCGATAGACCCGGTGCAGAGCGAGATTCTGCAGCGCCGGCGCGACGTTGTGCGCAACCTCCCCGAGGGGTTGCTCCCTGTCGATCTCGGCCTCCAGCACCGCCTGCATGACCTCCTTGAAGACACCGGCGGTCTTCTCGCTCGCACCGACCACCATCGCCGCCGCCTTCCCTTCGCCCACAGCATCGACCACCTGGGCGTCGTCGTTCTCGACTAAGCACCACACGGCGCAAGCGGAGGTCGATAACGCCTGTGCCGCCATCGCCGTCTTCTCATCAGTGTCTCCCTCCTTCCTCGCCGCGCTCGCAACGACCTTCCCATATGCAGCGCACATGGACACGCGACCTATCATGGCCAAGATCATAGCATCCGACTTCTCCTTGCCTTCCTTTGTGACGGCATCGACGGGGAACCAGATCGCCGGCAAGAGCGCGTCGTGGTGCGCATCGCCTGAGCTCTTGTACGCTTGATACTTGCCAAGAATGTCATCGAACCTGTCACGCAATCACATGAAACTGGGCGACCATTAGTGACTCCGACATCGTCATCAACACTCGGCCGAAGGGTATCCGACCTACAGTGTTTTGGGAAGGTACGCGCCCCGTGCCCATATCACCGTCCACATCACTGTCGGCAAAAACTTGATCCCCTCCCACACCTTCCTCCACTTCTCCAACTCGGTTTCCTCCAAGCCGGTGAGCTCGGCCATGAGGACCTTGCTGACGTAACCGTCGTAGACGATGTACGCAATCGAGTGCAGGTACGCCAGCTCCATCTTGTCGCGCGACTTGCCGATGTATCGATTAGCGCCGAGCACCTTAATCTCGCCCACCCACCCTAGACCGTCGCCCGAGTTGTCATGGCGGATGCCATGACCCTTCCGTCCTTTCTCCTTCTCCTTCTCCTTCTTCTCCTCCTTCTCCTCCTTCTCCTCCTTGTTCTCCTTCTCCTTCTCCTTCTCCGCCGCCTTCTCCTTCCCTTTCTTCGCCGACGTACCCTCGCCGACCGACTTCTCCTCCACCTTCTCCTTCCCTATCTCCACTGCCTTCTCCTTCCCTATCTCCACCGACTTCTCCTTCGCCTTCTCCCTCCCTGTCTCGGCCGACATCTCCTTCGTCGCCGACATCGCCCGTGTTTTCCTCTGAGAGCTCGCCCTCCCTTTCTCTGTGTCGGCCTTCCCCTTCCGTTTCGACTCTCCCTCGCCGACAGCATCAGTGGTCGTCTTTGGCTCCGCTGAACCACCGGGGAGACTCGCCGAAGGCTCCACATGCGTCGTGTCCGAGATGGCCAGAGCAGGGGGGTGCCCGGGGCGTTTTACCGCTTCCAACAGGTTCTGGATGGCATCGATGTCGGCGTCGTTGTGGCCTTTTGACGCCTGTGCAGGGTCAACGGCTCCGCCGCCGGTTGCTAGCGCTGCCCTCACGCCCTTCTCCGCCGCCACGTTTACCGATGTCGGCGTCGCGCTTGAGCCGGCTTCCGGCTGAGTCCGTGTTGGCAGTGCCGCACTACGTGCGCCTAGCCGGGCGCGAAGCAATGCGGACTTTGGGTCCGCAGGAGGACGGGCGGCGACCAGAGGTGCGGCATGTGGGGCACTGGGCGTTGTGGCGGCGACCTGCGGAGTGACCGAGCGACGTGCTGTTTTGGCGGGGGCGGCTTCTAAGGGAGGCTACTGCACGTCCTTGCGATGGGCCTCCATGCGTTGGAGCATTTCCCTGAGCGCATTCGCCGCTGCGGGCACCTTAGTGGCGGACGGACCGTCGCGGTTAGCCGCAGCATCCTTCGCGTCGCCCTTGGCGGCAGACGGGCCTGCTGGAGCTGGGGTAGCCGCAAGGGCCGACCCATCGTTGTTGGTGGCTGACGGGCCGACCGGCGCGCTGCTAGCCGCAGGGGGTTTTCGGGGAATCGACGTGGTCCCCGCCACCCCGACAGATGGTCCCTTGACGGTTCTAGCGCCGCCATCTATCGCCGTTTGAGCGGTTGGGATCTCCTTGTCGCTCAAGCCTTTCCCGCCGCTCGCCAGACCATGGGGCTTCTCGGCGACCAGGGGCGAGGCTGTTGGTCTAGCGTCTTGAGCGGCAACCTTGTCGGCATGGCCCCCATCTGCACTCCCGATTCCATCGCCCTTGCTGTGCGACCTTATCACCTTGGCCACGTTCTTCTTGAGCTGGTCGACCACGCTCTGACCTCGAGTCCGCGAGCCGCCTGGACCCACCACGCCGACGCTGTGGCTCCCATCGGCTCCCTTGCTCCGCTTCACGCTCCCCGCATCATCTCCGCCGCCCGCCCTTTTCTGGCCCTGCTTGTCGGCCTCCCTTCGTTGCGCGGGATCGGCGTCATTGGGCGACGGCGACGACCCACGCCGACCAGCCGCCACATTGCCGATCACCTCGGTCATAAGCTTTAACCCGGATGCAACAAACGACTGCTGTGTGGCCTCCGTCACCGCCTTCAAGACGTCCGCCTTGAACGACTTCATGAGCTCGTCCGGGAAGGCTGGCGGGGGCTGCGGCGGGGGCGGCGGCGGCACGGCGATGTTGCGAGTTACCGTGGCGGCAATGTTGGTCTGCGCGGCGGCTAGGTGCTTCGAGATGTAGTCCTCCAAACCCAGTTTCGCATCGTCCACCACCGCTTCCACGTGGTTGGCCAAGGCGGTGACCGCTTTTGCGCGTTCAACTGCCATACTTCCCTCCGGACCGTCGATTTCCGCCAACCACGTCGACGCCTGTTCGGCGAAGGACTTCATCGCCTTCCACGATTCGTCCATGTGGTTGGTGATGTTGTCCGTGATGGTTGTCGACACGGCCGACGTCGCATCTAGCAGCCGTTTCGCCGCATTATGGTCGGAGACGGCGACCTGGTCGGCCAACGACTGGAGCTTGTCGAGGAGTCCGCGTATCCCCAATGCAAACCTTGTTAGAGACTAAGGACGGAGTCTATGAAGATTAAGAGCTGAAATATCTCAAAATCGTCAACTATAATTCCGACAGAAACGTCGTCGTCACAAGAAACGTCGTCGACAAAACACGCTCTGTTAGAATTCTCTCAAACTCGAGTATCTTGTAGCCCTGGACATTGGCTATCGTTCCCAATTTGAATTGTATCAAAATATGAAGTATAACTCGAGTTATGAAGTTCGGCGCACTAGGGGGTATGCTGCCATAGAAACTTAACTCAATCACAATAGTTCTCACAAGTTCACACAAGAAAGTTGGAGTAGCAATAGAACCAGATAGGAGGGGATGAGGAGGACGAGAGGGAAGGTCCCAAGGGAGTCCCCAACCAAGGACACCCCATACCACACAATTCCCCTCTCTATAGGCACCCCAACTTTGACATTTGTCACTTTCCCAACTCATGCCATCCACCTCACCCAACTTGGCCACACTTGCCAACCTGGTTTGGCACCTCCCAACCACTTGGCAGCATCTACAGTGATGTTGACGAATTTCCCAACCCCCAAGAGTCTGTACTCCTTATGGAGTCAACACCACAACTTCCCTTAGTCACCACAACCAAATATCAAAAGCATACGATCTTCCAACGTTCGTAACTTTCTTGTTCGTGCTCCGATTGAAGCGATACTTGGTTCGTCGGAAAGCTCTTGAGCAGAGGAGTCACTTCAGATATCTGCTCAAGCCAAATAACATTCACACACACTCAGAAAAACCAAACCGCACAAAACACAAATTCTTGCATACGCTCATACCACGCATGCAACGCACGAACACATGATGGGAGGCAGACAGACGTGAATGCATATGATTGCATCACACAACAAACTCCCCCTCTGGCTGCGAACCATCATCCCACATGTCATAGCTCAAGCATGCACCCTCAATGCACACTCATCCCAGCAAGCTTCATGCCCTTCCAATGCTCAGATTCAGCCAGGCGCTTGGTGAGAATGTCAGCCGCCTGCTGATGGGTCTTCACAATCTCCAGCCGCACCTCCTTGTCCAGGAGCCTCCTCACCCAATGCCAATTAGGCCTGATGTGCTTCGTCAGCCCATGAAGGCAAGCGTTCTTAGCAAGCTTCACAGCCGACTCGTTGTCACAGAAAATCACAGTTGGCTCCTTCTGGCACACTCCGATCTCCTCCAACAAACGCCTCAGCCACACCACCTCCTTCACCCCATGATGAAGGGCCATGTACTCAGTCTCACACGAGGACAGCCCCACCTCGTTCTGCTTCTTGCTGCGCCAGCTCACTGCACCACCTCCAAACAGGCACACATAGCCCCCAATGCTGGTGCCATCCGCCTTCACAGAGTTGAAGCTAGCGTCGGTGTAGCAGGTCAGGAGCATCTCCACCTCCATTTCCTCCAACTCCCACTCGACCTCTTCCTCCTCCTCCTCCTCCTCCTCCTCCTCCTCCTCCTCCTCCTCCTCCTCCTCCTCCTCCTCCTCCTCCTCCTCCTCCGCCGAGCCCCCCTCCTACTCCTCCTCCTCCTCCTCCTCCTCATCCTCCTCCTCCTCCTCCTCCTCCTCCTCCTCCTCCTCCTCCTCCTCCTCCTCCTCCTCCTCCTCCTCCTCCTCATGATCCTCATGGTCCTCTTCCTGATCCTCATTATCATCTTGGTGCTTCTCCGCGGTCCCAGTCACCGCCCTTCCCGCCTCCTCATCTTCCTTGTCGACGCCGCCTCCGGGCTCTCCGATCGAAGTCCCACGCGCATCATGGACGGTGTAGGCGACACCTACTGCTTGGGATGCCGAAGGGGCCTCCTCGCCGTCGTCGTCACAGGCGTCGGCAGCAACTCTGACATGGCCCGACCGTTTGAGAGCGACGTGCTCCTTGACGAATGTTATCATCCCATTCCGCATCCCCTTCAACCCCGAAACGTTCACCTTGTCCATGCTGGTCACACTGCGACGGAGGGCGCTGGTCAGGAGATCCATCGGCCGACCGATGCGGGCCAAACCCTGTGCCGACACCGACCTACTGTAGATAACCCTGAATCCTAAAGTCGGTGTCGACGTGAACTCGTAGCGCCGCCCTAGACGTGGGACAACCCTAACACCGACGCTGCGTCGACCAGCAATGTATGAAGATGTCGACGCCGACATCCCCATACGGAGACTCACTTGAGGCCGAATCCCAAGCAACGGGCGTTGAACTCTAGCCTATGGTCTACGAGGACGGCGTAGTCGTGTTCCCCGAGCTTGGCAGTGAGTCCACTACCGAGGCCGAGATACAGAGGGAAGTCCTGCACGGTCGGCGCCGCTTCGCCGGCTTTCGGGTCGGCCTCCATGGCGGTGAAGGGAATTGACTGCAGGCTAAGGGACGAGAATGTGGGAGTAATGTTGAAAGAGAAACGAGATGCCGAAAATGAGGAGCGATGCCTCCTTCCACCACGGAAAGGGAGTCGGTGCCCCACAGGCCGGTTGAGGCATCGCCCAGGGTTCGTGGTGCCTGGCTTGGCAGGGTTTGGCGGGCTGCATGCACAAGTGGCACAAGTGCTCCTTCGCCGCCGAGCCAGCACGTCGACTTCGCGTCCCCTGACTTCGCTCGGCGAGGGGACGCAATTTCACATGCGCGTGGTGCGACGTTTCGGCCGACACGTGTCGATTTCGCAGCGGATCGCGAAAACCCCGCGCCGCGATGCGAGCGATCCAATTTCGCCGGGCTCGAAATTTCGCATGCACCCGATGCGAACCCGCGTGCGAGAGCATGTGGCGTCGCCGCAACGGGTCGCGACATTGTCGAGCGGCCCGAGGGGAGCACCCGAATTTCGCATGGCCCTCGCCTGTCCGTCCGGGCAGGTCGCGAGGGTCACTAGGACGTCGCGGGCAGCAGGCACGGGAGGGCTGCCTTCGCGCGAGGGTTACTTTCCCTCTCGCGAGGGTTACTTTCCCTCGCGCGAGGGCTCGCCAGCTCGCCGCCCCCACCCGGTAACGCGGGGCGCTATTCAATCACGCAGGGGGTTTGCGGGGCGGCGGTCGTGCGCTCGGCCCCGCCCTGGGCCAGTTCCCCGCCTCGTCATGCCCGGCTCCGACGACCCCCTCTGACGACACTGGCAAATCGGTTCCGACGACCGAATTGCGCTGGGATGTTCGTGGCCAAAGTTTCTGAAACCAGCGAAGCAACTAGTGAAATTTCTCTCGTCGCAATTCGGGAAGGGCCAGCCCAACTGCCCTTGCAAAACAACCCACCAAACGCCAACATTCCGCAACTGTAGCACTTTGTGGGTGCACCCACTCTGTGATCCCGCGTTGTCCGTGGCACCGACTGACAGGGTGCATGGCTCAGCTGTTTGGAGTGGCGTGGACTCAAATGTGGGGGGACACCTCCAGCTGGCGTCGGAGCAAATCTGTTACTTGGCACATGCAGAGTGTCACGGACTTCACGTGGAGGGATGGTCATCGCATATCTGATCCCTCCCCACTCCACATGCAGCAGGTCGGCCACTTCCCCCCAATCCGATCTGACCGTTCCAGCTGTGAGGGACGATTCGCGCTTGATAGCGATTCCGTCTGGCGAGTGCTTCTCCTTCATGCATTTATTCATGCAGAGATTTGAACGGAACACCAGTCACTGACTGAACGGTCGGTTTTCGGTCAGTTGGGGGTGGGAAGATTCGGTGTGCTCTGATAAATTTGTGCTGCGTTCCTTGTAAACCTTCCGTTGGGTCACTTTTTAATTAGATAAGTTACATTTTGGTGCATCCTTTCCGCACTTAATTCGACTAACCAAACCCGTTTCTCTGCATGCATCAAGGTCTTGGTAACTATTACCCTACTAATTCTGCATTTAACGCGATTGTGTCCTTTCACTTGCGTCTGACAGGCCACCCTTGCATAGTTGACATGCTACTTGCATGTTCGCTTGGGTGTTGTTGACGCGGTTCATAATGTAGCGCACTTGCACTTGCGATCTGCTGGCACTGAGCTGGCAGTCAGCTTGTAACTGATGGACGAGCGTTCAGTATCCCAGCTACAGTTGCTCACCTCGCTCGCTGTTCATCTGGTGTAGGTGCCCAAACGGATTTTGAACTTGTTGATAGACTGTTCCTCGCGAACTTAACTCTTTCATACTCTTCATTCCCACCCAGCGCACCTGTTCTTCACATACACAATCACACTGATTGAAGTGTTTGAACGGCACAAATCCTTGCGCAGCTTGGTCAGAGTAACTTCGAGAAATAGTCACGATTTCCAGAGCTTTTGTGTTGGTGGGCCACATAGGATTCACCTCATGACCTCATGAAACGAACAGAATCCCGCGTCAAGCAGCCCCACACAAAACACGTCACACGACGCCCACCCTTGCACACTCCCCCGATCGTGGCCATTAATGGTGATGTAACGCATGATCCTCCAGATCGGAGCTTTCGGATTTGAGCATCCCCCATTGCCGCCAAACACTTCACCCCAGGCCACCACCACGCCACACCACACCACAACCCCTCGGTGCCACCAGCCGCTCCACTTTCCAGCACGACCACGAGCCCAACCGTCTTCCCGCCACGAAACCCAAACCCGATCAAGCCCATCTCACGTCGCACGATCGCATCTCGTTTGTGAACCTTCCGCCTATACGCGGAAACTCTGTTCCCAAGCTCCAAGGGTTCCCCCATATGGCCTCCTCGTCTCCCCCTCAATTTCTCCCCACGATCCCCCCCTCGCCCCATCCCCCCCATCGGTTTCCTCCCTCGGCCAATCCCACACCCCCAACTCACCCCCACCACCTCCCCGTACCCCATTATACGACCCAGATGCTCATCCTGCTGCGCATCACCACCACCAGTCATTCATCTGCCCCGCTTGACCACTCCTCCACACCACACACCCACCTTGACTCCCCCTTTCGACTCCCCTCGGCCCGCCTCGTCTCTCTGGCTTCCTCCTTCCTCACTCCCCTTAGACTCCCCCCTATCCCACAGCAGCCTTGGGCGTCCAGCATAAAACACCTGCAAGGAATATTTTTTATCATCAATGTTTCACCATCATTGTTCAAAGCCGTTCCTTCGTCTTCCGTCTTTCGTGCAAGACCAAGTCTTCTAGACATCCAGACTTCGTGCTATCCAGCATAAGAGAAAAGGCTAATTAGGATTCCAATCAAAGATCCCTCTTTCGCAAGCCGTTCGCTTTACGCCAACTTGAAGTTTCGTGCACACCATGGAGCTTGAAGCGCTCGAAAGCAAGCTGCATCTTCTCGACCTTCACCGCCAGCTCAGTGCGGTCCACTGCCAAAACTTCATCCGCATCCTCGAGTCGTCTCTCGCCGAATGCGTCACGCAATCAGATCGCGCCGCTTCGCTCGCGGAGGATGACGAGTTCGGCGCCGAGAAAGCCGTTGAGATTGACGTGTCCTCGCCACGTGCCTGCTCGCGAGGCGAAGACGCCGCGTGGGAGTGCATCAGCAGCAGCTGGAGCAGCAGCGGAAGCAGCAGCAGCACCAGCAGCAGCAGCAGCTCCTCTAGCTGGCAAGCGGATCTGAACTTTTACGACGAGTCCGCACCGGTCACTCGCTCTCACTCGCACTCTCACTCCCACTTCCATTCCACGAAAAGCTCTCGCCGCTGCAGCACCGGTCCGAAGCAGCACGTCCGCTCGACGGCATCGTCGCCGCGCGCGCACGCGCCGAGAAGCAGCCTGCGCCGCCACGCGAGTCTCAACATCGACGCGGCGAAGCTCTTTTCATGAACTTTGGCCTGAAATCATCGTCGCTTTCGATCGTGCATCAGAGAACCGGTCTGCATCGGATCTGAATCCTCTTCAGCACACAAGAGCAGCCTCCGCCGCCGCTCGAGCCTTTTTCGACATTGGCAGCGGTCGAGCCTCCGCCGCCGCTCAAGCCTAAGCCGCGAATCACGCGAGGCTCACTCCAGACCCAACAACCGTCGAGCTCGTCGCAAGCTACGACCGAGTTTCGCACACTGACACGTCTGCTGAACAGCTTGTACAGCAATATACACTTGAATCGCTCGCCTAAGATCCGGCGGTGGTCGCGGATCCGGCGCGAGACCTAATTTTGTAGATTTGGTCACAAGCTAGGGTCCAACCTAGTAGGTTGTGGATATAGTCAATATGTTAGTGTACCTGACTGACCAATTAGAAACATCTAATATGACTTCTCAGACTGTTTAAAACTTGATGGAAAATGGTTTGCAAGGGAGAAATGACTCTTATCACATACGGTACACCTTGAGACGGCTTGTTATGCTGCCCCCGCCATTGTCCCTAACTGAACACACAAGTAGGTCGCAGCGAGAGGGAGTCTCAACTTGAAAGTGTGGCGGTTTGGCCTGAAAGCTTCCTTTTTCAAGCACAGCAGATCATTTGAAAGCACCACCACTGCCACCATCACCATCACCATCACCATCACCACCATTTCCACCATCACCATCACCATCACCATCACCATCACCATCACCATCACCATCACCATCACCATCACCATCATCCCTCACTACAATCTAACACCACCACCTTAGCACGCATCGAGGTCACGGCAGGGCGGTGGCTTGATCTTGCCAGTCAGGGTGGTGGGACTGATACAAGCATAGCAGATAAACCGAAATCACCACCATCCCTAGCTCTAGCTTAGCACGCATCGAGGTCACGGCAGGGCGGTGGCTTGATCTTGCCAGTCAGGGTGGTGGGGCCGCCCTCTGGAGCACAGCGGATGCGATTCGGAATCTGAGGGCCCGCCTGGGAAGGGTGGGGGGCAGCAGATGGGAGGGGGGGAGAGGGTGGGGGAAGAGGAGGGTGAAGAAAGAGAGATGGGTTTTAATTACTGTGGAAGTACCCAACTTGAGGTTGCCAGTTAGGGTGGTCGGGGTGCCCTCTGGAGCACAGCGAATGCAATTCGGGATCTGAGGACCCCCCTGGGAGGGGTGGGGCAGCAGAGGGGAAAGACGGGGGATGGGAGTGGAGGGTCAAGGCAGAGAGATGGCTTCTAGTCACGTGAAAGTGCCCAGCTTGATCTTGCCAGTCAGGGTGGTGGGGCCGCCCTCTGGAGCACAACATATGCTATTTAGGATCTGGGATCCACTTGGGAGGAGAGGGAAGGGAAGGGGAGGGGAGGGGAGGGGAGGGGAGGGGAGGGGAGGGGAGGGGAGGGGAGGGGAGGGGAGGGGAGGGGAGGGGAGGGGAGGGGAGGGGAGGGGAGGGAGGGAGGGAGGGAGGGAGGGAGGGAGGGAGGGAGGGAGGGAGGGAGGGAGGGAGGGAGGGAGGGAGGGAGGAAGGGAGAGAAGGGGGGAGGGAGGAAGGGAGGGAGAGGGGAGGGAGGAAGGGAGGGAGAGGGGAGGGAGGAAGGGAGGGAGAGGGGAGGGAGGAAAATGAAGATCTGTGAGAGAGAAAAAAGAGCAGCGGAAGCGAGGGAGAGGGGTGCGGGCAGAAGCACGGCTTACAATCGCTGAAAAGGCACCTGATTCAGATCTGCTGGCCGAAGCGTTGGGGTTGCCAGCACCCCTTCAGAGCACAGAATCTAAATCGTCAGCCCTCCCCCAGTTGGTCCACTCGCCCCTCCCCTCCCCCACCCGGCCCTCACCCACTCTGTACTCTGTTGTACCAACGTACCTTGGGCTTCTCCCCTCGCCGGAGTGCCTCCACTATCGCCACCACTGACTCGGGTGTGAGGTTCTTTGTAGCAGCAGCAGCAGGGTTAACATCTGTAGCAGCTGTAGCGGCTGTAGCACCTGCTCGTAACCAACATACCTTGGGCTTCTCGCCTCGCCGGAGTGCCTCCACTATCGCCACCACAGATTCGGGAGTGAGGTCCTAATATACCGGCTGTACCATCTGTAGCACCTGTAGCACCTGCAGTGCCTGCCCGTCACAAGCGTACCTTGGGCTTCTCCCCTCGCCAAAGTGCCTCCACTATCGCCACCACTGACTCGGGAGTGAGGTCCTAATATACCGGCTGTACCATCTGTAGCAGCTGTAGCACCTGCAGTGCCTGCCCGTCACAAGCATACCTTGGGCTTCTCCCCTCGCCGGAGTGCCTCCACTATCGCCACCACTGACTCGGGAGTAAGGTCCTCCTGGTGTGGTGTGGTGTGGTGTGGGGCAGTGTGGTGTGGTGTGGTGTGGTGTGGTGTGGTGTGGTGTGGTGTGGTGGGGCGTGGTGGGGTGTGGTTGGGTCAAACGTATACTCAGAAGGCGTTTTCTTTAAACCCTCCATGCACTTGCTAGAATTCAATCTATAGTCGACTCAAGAAACAAAAGGAGGGATGAGCTGACTTATACAAAGAGAGACACACACACACACAAAGACACACACACACACACACACACACAAAGACACACACACACACACACACAAAGACACACACACACACATAAAAAGTACTCTATAAAAGCAATCACAATACAGGACTTGACTCATAAAATGCAAAATTTACGTCGATTCCAAGCAAAAAACATTTGAGACCACTAAGCCAACAGTTGTAAACGGTTGGACCACTAAGGGTTGAGGAACAAATCAGGGGGTGGGGAACGCACGTAGTAGTTGTAAGTGAAGCCCTCCACCCCGTTGCTGTAATCGGCCACTGTGATCATAGGCGCGTTCACACAGCAGCCCTGCAGAGGGGAGGGGGGAAGAGGAGGGGGAGTGTTTGGCAGCAATGTTGCAGGGGTCTATGGGAAAGGATGGCGTCTCAACCCCGTTGCTGTAATCGGCCACTGTGATCCTCGGCGCGTTTACACAGCAGCCCTGCAGGTTAGGGGCGCAGGGAGGGGGGGAACACAGCAGCACAGCAGCACAGGGGTAAGGAAGGCGTCTCAACCCCGTTGTTGTAACCGGCAACTGTGATCATAGGCGCGTCCACACAGGGGAGATGGAAACAAAAGCGTTTCATCTAATACTGAAGGGATAAGACAAGCGTTTCGTCACACCATGCACTCGTTTCATCTCACCATGCACCCGTTTCATCTCACCATGCACCCGTTTCATCTCACCATGCACCCGTTTCATCTCACCATGCACCTGTTTCGTCTCACCGTGCACCCGTTTCATCTGACCATGCACCCGTTTCATCTCACCATGCACCCGTTTCATCTCACCATGCACCCGTTTCATCTCACCATGCACTCCATCTCGCCCACTGAGAAGAGCCCATCCTTGGTCAACTCTGTAATGAACCACACAGGTCGAGGAAGAAAGGGATACAATGCGGTAACATGGGGTGGAATGGGATGGAATGGGGTACTAAGGAGTATGAGAAGGTTATAATGGGATAGATGGGTCAATGAGCCGATGAAAGAAAAAACGGAGCTGCCAGATTAGAAAACACGAGAATGACAACTGCAAGAATGGGAAAAGGAAGTCGGGAAATAGGGTGTGGGAAAAGAGGGGGTGGGAAATGAGACGGTGAGAAAAGGAGTGGGAAAAGAGGGGGTGGGAAAAGAGGGGTGGGAAAAGTGGGGTTGGAAAAAGAGGGGGTGGGATAAAGGGGGCCAGGAAACGAGGGGGTGGGACAAAAGGGGGTGGGAAACAAGGGTGGGAAAAGCGGGTGTGGTGAAAGAAGGGTTGGGTAAAAAAGGGCCCACCGTTTCTCTTGAAGCACAGGTGCTTGAGCAAAGCAGCCTCTATGTCCCTGGCGCCCCATAGAGCCCCAGATAGGAGACGAGGGGGGTGGGTGGGGAACGAGTGGAATGGGTGGGAATCGAGGGGCTCACCGTTCCTCTCAACGCCCAGGTGCTTGAGCAAAGCAGCCTCGATATCCCTTGCGCCCCGCAGCATGCATGGCGTGGTGCCACAGACGAGCAGATGGTACTTGCCCACCTGCATGGCATGGATGGGGTGGCACGTGTGTGAGTGAGTGATTAACATGTGTAACGCTTGAGAGCAGCCAATATGTCCCTTGAGCCCCGCAGCATGCATGGCGTGGTGCCGCACACAAGCAGATGGTACTTGCCCACCTGCATGCATGCATGCATGCATCCATCCATCCATCCATCCATCCATCCATCCATCCATCCATCCATCCATCCATCCATCCATCCATCCATCCATCCATCCATCCATCCATCCATCCATCCATCCATCCATCCATCCATCCATCCATCCATCCATCCATCCATCCATCCATCCATCCATCCATCCATCCATCCATCCATCCATTATGTGGCACATTTGAATAAACTTCACATCCGCAAGGAAGGAAACACTACCACGTACATGCAGTCTGAATACACTGTATCGTATAATTGCACAGACGGATCACATCAGCACTGACTGGTTGTCCATTAAACATGGTCTACGAATCTAGTTTTGAGACGTCTCAAAACTAAACATGGTCTACGAATCTAGTTTTGAGACGTCTCAAAACTAAACATGGTCTACGAATCTAGTTTTGAGACGTCTCAAAACTAAACATGGTCTACGAATCTAGTTTTGAGACGTCTCAAAACTAAACATGGTCTACGAATCTAGTTTTGAGACGTCTCAAAACTAAACATGGTCTACGAATCTAGTTTTGAGACGTCTCAAAACTAAACATGGTCTACGAATCTAGTTTTGAGACGTCTCAAAACTAAACATGGTCTACGAATCTAGTTTTGAGACGTCTCAAAACCAAACATGGTCTACGAATCTAGTTTTGAGACGTCTCAAAACTAAACATGGTCTACGAATCTAGTTTTGAGACGTCTCAAAACTAAACATGGTCTACGAATCTAGTTTTGAGACGTCTCAAAACTAAACATGGACTACGAATCTAGTTTTGAGACGTCTCAAAACTAAACATGGTCTACGAATCTAGTTTTGAGACGTCTCAAAACTAAACATGGTCTACGAATCTAGTTTTGAGACGTCTCAAAACTAAACATGGTCTACGAATCTAGTTTTGAGACGTCTCAAAACTAAACATGGTCTACGAATCTAGTTTTGAGACGTCTCAAAACTAAACATGGTCTACGAATCTAGTTTTGAGACGTCTCAAAACTAAACATGGTCTACGAATCTAGTTTTGAGACGTCTCAAAACTAAACATGGTCTACGAATCTAGTTTTGAGACGTCTCAAAACTAAACATGGTCTACGAATCTAGTTTTGAGACGTCTCAAAACTAAACATGGACTACGAATCTAGTTTTGAGACGTCTCAAAACTAAACATGGTCTACGAATCTAGTTTTGAGACGTCTCAAAACTAAACATGGTCTACGAATCTAGTTTTGAGACGTCTCAAAACTAAACATGGTCTACGAATCTAGTTTTGAGACGTCTCAAAACTAAACATGGTCTACGAATCTAGTTTTGAGACGTCTCAAAACCAAACATGGTCTACGAATCTAGTTTTGAGACGTCTCAAAACTAAACATGGTCTACGAATCTAGTTTTGAGACGTCTCAAAACTAAACATGGTCTACGAATCTAGTTTTGAGACGTCTCAAAACTAAACATGGACTACGAATCTAGTTTTGAGACGTCTCAAAACTAAACATGGTCTACGAATCTAGTTTTGAGACGTCTCAAAACTAAACATGGTCTACGAATCTAGTTTTGAGACGTCTCAAAACTAAACATGGTCTACGAATCTAGTTTTGAGACGTCTCAAAACTAAACATGGTCTACGAATCTAGTTTTGAGACGTCTCAAAACCAAACATGGTCTACGAATCTAGTTTTGAGACGTCTCAAAACTAAACATGGTCTACGAATCTAGTTTTGAGACGTCTCAAAACTAAACATGGTCTACGAATCTAGTTTTGAGACGTCTCAAAACCAAACATGGTCTACGAATCTAGTTTTGAGACGTCTCAAAACTAAACATGGTCTACGAATCTAGTTTTGAGACGTCTCAAAACTAAACATGGTCTACGAATCTAGTTTTGAGACGTCTCAAAACCAAACATGGTCTACGAATCTAGTTTTGAGACGTCTCAAAACTAAACATGGTCTACGAATCTAGTTTTGAGACGTCTCAAAACTAAACATGGTCTACGAATCTAGTTTTGAGACGTCTCAAAACTAAACATGGTCTACGAATCTAGTTTTGAGACGTCTCAAAACTAAACATGGTCTACGAATCTAGTTTTGAGACGTCTCAAAACTAAACATGGTCTACGAATCTAGTTTTGAGACATCTCAAAACTAAACATGGTCTACGAATCTCGTCATGCCATGCCACAGCACAGCAGCACTGACCGGCTGTCTGTTGAACATGGTGTAGAATAGAAAGAAAGCCGTAATTATTCAGAGCAGCGGCACTGACAGGTTGCTGATTGAACACGGTGTGGAACGTTGTTGTACACATTATGAACACAACAATACACACCGGTTGTCTGTTGAACATGGTGTAGAAAGTCGCAACCTCATACACGCGAATGTAGGGCATGCCCAATAGGTTCGCCACCTGGGAGGGCGGAGCGAAGAGAGGGATGCGATGGGAGGGAGAGAAGGTGATCGAAGGGAGAGAAGGTGATCGAAGGGAGGATATGCGATCGGGGGAAGGAAAGAAGGCCTTATTCACGTGAAGCCATGAACTAGGAGGGGGGGAGTCGTGGGAAGCTAGACTTGTGGTAGAATACGACACCCTGTTCAAGAGCCGCTCACACAGGCATCAGGATGAAACGAGGCACAAACGAGATGATGAAACGAGGCACAAACGAGATGATGAAACGAGCCACACTTCCCCACACCTGAGCAACACACCTTGGTGCCACCACCACATACAGCAACGGCACATACCTTGTTCATTGCGGCAACGGCACACACCTTGTTCATTGCGGCAACAGCACACACCTTGTTCATTGCGGCAACGGCACACACCTTGTTCATTGCGGCAACGGCACACACCTTGTTCATTGCGGCAACGGCACACACCTTGTTCATTGCGGCAACGGCACACACCTTGTTCATTGCGGCAACGGCACACACCTTGTTCATTGCGGCAACGGCACACACCTTGTTCATTGCGGCAACGGCACACACCTTGTTCATTGCGGCAACGGCACACACCTTGTTCATTGCGGCAATGGCACACACCTTGTTCATTGCGGCAACGGCACACACCTTGTTCATTGCGGCAACGGCACACACCTTGTTCATTGCGGCAACGGCACACACCTTGTTCATTGCGGCAACGGTGAGCCAGCCGCCGTTCTGCTGCCGCACGATTTCAATGATGGGAACAGAGACGACTTTTGAGGCGCCTCAAAAGCCGCCGTTCTGCTGCTGCACGATTTCAATGATGGGAATGATGGCTGACTGGCACACCTTGCTCATGGCACTCACGCACACACATCATATCTTGTTTCCACGCACCTCGTTTCCTCTTGGCACACCTTGTTCATAGCGGCAACGGTGAGCCAGCCGCCATTCTGCTGCTGCGCGATCAGTGCTGCACACATGAAGCATTGCCCTGCCTCTAACGCAGCCCCATCCCATGCCCATGTAGCCCAGCCCAGGCGCCATGCCATGCCATGCCATGCCATGCCATGCGCACATGCCTTGCTTGCAGCCATACCTTGTTCATGGCGGCAACGGTGAGCCACCCCCCGTTCTGCTGCTGCACGATCTCAAGGATGGGGATGACGGCGGACTGGCGGTAGTTGGCGGGGTAGTGCGATATGATCTCATTCGCCTGGTGGGGAGGGGAGGAGAATGGATTGTGATTTGCGAATAAGGATGCATGGGTGTGCGATGCTGCACGATCTCGGGGATGGGAATGATGGCTGACTGGCGGTAGTTGGCGGGGTAGTGCGATATGATCTCGTTCGCCTGGCGGGGAGGGGAGGAGAATCAATTGTGATTTGCGAAAAAGGATGCATGGGTGTGCGATGCTGCACGATTTCGGGGATGGGGATGACGGCGGACTGGCGGTAGTTGGCGGGGTAGTGCGATATGATCTCGTTCGCCTGGCAGGCAGGCAGGGAGGGAGGGGGTGGGTGGGTGTGATGCGCAGTGCACATAATACTTGAGAGTTGATTCGATCAGGACTGGCGGTAGTTGGCAAGGTAGTGCGATATGATCTCATCTCGCTCGCCTTGCGGGGAGGGGAGGAGAATGGATTGTGATTTGCGAATAAGGATGCATGGGTGTGCGATGCTGCACGATTTCGGGGATGGAGAAGATGGCAGACTGGCGGGAGTTGGTGGGGCAGTGCGATATGATCTCATTCGCCTGGTGGGCGGGAGGGAATGCAGGGAGGGAGGGAGGGAGGGGGGAAGGTAGTGGCACCACTGTGCATGGTGACTCTTGAGTCAATGAAAGGTCACCTAGATGGCTGGGTAGTGCGATATGGGTGCATGGAGGGTGTGTGGAGGGTGCGTCAAGGGTGAGAAGAAGGGTGAGGGTAAGGCAGCTGGCATCACCTTTTTCAGGGTTAGGGGGGAGAACTCGAAGGGCGTCTCGAGGTTGTTGTCTGGCGAGTCGCGATGCTGCATGAATTGACAAGTGGGGAGTGGGGTGGGTAGAGGGGGAATGGGAGGGGGAGGGGAAAGGAGGCAGAGAGACAGGGGGATGGAGAGGGGACAAGGACTGAGGCGCCTGAAGACTCGAAGGGCGTCTCGAGGTTGTTGACGGGCGAGTCGCAATGCTGCATGGGGAGATGGGGTGGGTTGCGGGGGGGAGAAGATGGGGTGGGTTGCGGGGGGGAGAAGATGGGGTGGGTTGCGGGGGGGAGAAGATGGAGTGGGTTGCGGGGAAAAGGGAGGGAGAGAGAGACAGGGGGTGGAGGGGTTGTTGTCTGGCGAGTCGCAATGCTGCATGAATTGAACGGCAAACTGGGGAGGTAGAAGGGTAGGGGTGGTAGAGTGGGAACGAGGGGGGTAAGGGGAGGCAAACGGGGGAGGTATAAAGAGGGAGACAAGGGGAGGAGAGAGGGATTGAGGCAGTGTGAGAGGGGGCGGGTAACGGAGGAAGCTACATTGCTACTCGCAAGTCATGGTGTTCAAACAGAACATGGAAAGAGGAGAGAAGCCGTGACAAAACTCCTTACCGTGCCCTCAGTCAAGGGCATTGTATCATTACAGCATTGCATGACAGCACCGGTTTTGCTAAAACCGCTTATGAAGCGCAACATCGTTATGAAGCGCTTCATGCTTTGTGCTAGACAACCTTCAGGCTTCATGTTTGATGGATGATGCTTGATGTTTGGTTGTCATTTTACGCTTCCTGTTTGAAGTGTCATGCTTCAAGCGCATGCCTTGCGCTTCATGCTTTGTGCCAGACAGCTCTTAAGCTTCAGGCTTCATGTTTGATGGATGATGCTTGATGTTTAGTTGACAGTTTACACTTAGTGTTTGAAACGTCATGCTTCAAGCGCATGCCCTGTGCTTCATGCGTCATTCACGCTCACGGCAAATCAGTGAACCCGGTTACCAGGTAACGCCCACTCACGATGTTGAGAGCCGTGGAGAAGAGGCGAGAGGAGACAGCTGCTTGCGCTGCCGCTACCGTCAGGGGGGAGGCAGCTGGGGCTGGCATGGGGGGGGCACCGGCTAAGGGCAACGCCGCCGCCGCGCCCTGACCGCGGCGCTGCAACACGCGGGGGAAGAGGGGAAGGGAAAGGTGGGGTAGGGGGAAAGAAAATACGGTGTATACTTTGAGTAATTGGCAAAGCGATCGCCCGTATGGACCAACGGCAACACAACTGGGTGCGATCGACCGTATCGCCATGACTTGCTGTTAAGAGCCGCCTGAGGAATCGTCTCGTGTCGCGGTCTAGAGGCGCCTCGGGAATCCATTCAGTGCAACTGGACAATGTTCGTGGCTCTTCCCCTACGATCCTTCAAAAACAGCCAAGTATGCGATCATACCTGGTAGTTACATCCACGTAACGACGTAACCAGGTCTCGTAATATCATTCGTGAGATCGTACCGGGTAGTAGTTACGCTATACGTAACAAAGTAACCAGGTTCAGAACTATCCTAGATGCGGTCGTACCAGGTAGTTACATTCACGTGAAGACGTAACCAGTAGTTACGTTCAACGTAACGTGATCGTAACAGGTGTCAGATTCGTCATGCTATCGTATCAGGCTGCAGGATATCGTTCATGCGATCGTACCAGGTAGGTGGAGCAGCGGCTGGCGGCCGTCGCCAGGACCCGTGCGACGCGCGACGACTGCATGGTGACGGACGCGATGAGGGGAGACGACCGGACAGACGGAAAGTGATGCAAATGAAGGTGACGGTATCGATATTATCAAGACGCCTCAAAAGACGGCCTCGAAAGTACGCGCAATGGTACCGATCGGCGGATCTGACGAGACGACTCGCGGAGCCGAAACGGGAATGGTTGATCAGACTAGGAGGAATGCCGGACGGTTGACTCGAGATGGGAGGCGAAAGATGAGAATGGCGAGGATGGGTCCGGTTCGGGTGCGAAGAGGAAACGGCGAAGACGTAGCAACGCGGCACTTCAGCCTCGTTTCAACTCCGCTTTATGGCCAAGTAGGGAACTAAGGGATGCCCAGCCCACTAATTGCAGCTATCCCAAGGAGTCTAGCCTTGCGGAAGGTGAGGGGGAAAGGGCGGTAAGGAAGAGGGATGGGGAGGTTGGGAAGGGGACATCCCTAGCAACAAGGTTCGGCTAACGAGGCAAACGAGCGCTGAACTGAGTAAGCGAAAGGCTTCGGGAAAATTCGATTCGTGCCGTCAATAGACTAATGCGACAAGAAACGCAGTAACCAGCTCCCAATTATCTTTCCGTAACCACAAAATTTTCCGCCAAACTCTCCCCTCTTCCGCCCAAATTCCCCCCATGATATGCTTCTCACATATTTTATCTCTCAACTGCCTCAATCCTCCTCTCGTCTTCTCCTTTTTCTTCCATTGTCTCCTGTTTGTACTTCGATCGTAGCGTCATTTCACTAGCGCGGGAGGGAGTTCAGGTGACCGTTTGCGAAAACTTCCAAAGTCTGCGAGGCCTGCGAGAGGATTCGTGGGGTTGAAAGTTGAAATCGATCTAGCGTGCGAGGCTGCGGAATCGGGTTACTCCGTTTGATCTAGCTCGCAGAGTGCGTCGTTGAGGCAGGCTGGCGGTGGTAGAGGGAAGGGTAGCCTAAGATTACCTGCCGTTAGTCACTTCCATGTCGCTTTAGTCACTAACCGCTAGCCTCTGCTTCTGTTCTCAAAGACGCCGCGTGCTAGGAACTGGAAACACGAACCGCGTAGAAGATTGCGATGCGAGGGACCAAGAGGAAACTAGAGTGATACAGAGGGAAGCGGGAGGGGCTTTCCCTGCTCGCCCTGATTGTCTCAGACTGCCTAAACGTGTCTGAATGGCATCTCTACTCTGAACGTCCTTTCCGACATTCGCCACTGCTCGCCACTACTCCTCTATCCCGATTTCCAACTCTCCGACTTTCCCCTCGTCGCCTCGAGTTTTGAGACCTCTCAAAACTCGCTCCGATCCTCCGATCCCCTCGTCGCCTTGCCTGCATATCCTTTCTCTCCGCTCCGCTACAATTATCTCCGCTATTTCCGCTGCCCTCCTTTTTCTGGCTTCGCTAGTTTGTCCGCTAACCGCTTCGCTCTCCCCCTACTATTTCCTCTCGGCTCTCCCTTTCGGAAACGTTTTCTTCCCCTCGTCTCCCTCGTCTCGTCCCTTATATCCTCCACTCCACTGTTTCCTCTCCTCTCTCCTCCCCCTCTCCTCCTTTCCCGTCCCCTTCTCGTCTCGAATCTTCAAATCGCTTCTGTTCTCCCGTTGACCTTGGGAGAAGAAATTTCAGCTTGGTCCCAAACACAAGCACACCTCTTTCCCTTCCGTCACTCTTCCACAGGTTACCAACCAAACCTGTACAAGCAGCTACCAGCTTCTTTTCCTGTGTGGCGTGAGGCCAATTTCCTGCCAATCCGAGTCACATTGTGATTAGAAGCACTGTAATCGCAAGGTGGTTCACACTGTGCGTTGTCGCCGGCTACCTTACGCTTCTGTGGACCGTTAAGTACCGCTCTATACCCAGTCTGTCAGCATGTTTATGGGAGGGCCCCCGCGTCGTCCTGAGAAGGCTGCTGCGTTGAAGCAGCTCAGGCAGCACCTTGCTGTGCTGGGGGTGTGGGTTGTGGCGATCAGGCTCACGCCATATGTGCTTCATTTCCTCACCAAAGAGAAGGAGCAGCTTTCTCTTGACTTGTGATCTGATTTTAGTTTCTTAGGGTTGGATTAGATATGGTGTGGTTTATTTCTTTTTGTTTTTATGGAGTCACCTAGTGATTTTGAAAGTACTGTGGTAGTACCTGTGATTGCAGGCTTGTAGAAGCAGAATTTATAATGATGCGGACGACAGCGGGTACATCCCGAAGGGCTCGGCTATCAGCTGGTTCGGCCTGCGAGCTGCCCCAAACCACTCCCGAGTCGTCCCCGCACCTTTCGCCAAACGGGGCTCCGGTATCAGCTGGTTCGGCCTACGTCCTGCTCCATGCCACTCCCGTGTCGCCCCCGCACCTCTCGCCAATCTGGTCTCGAGTGTCAGCAGGTTCGGCCTACGAGCTCCTCGAACCACTTCCGAGTCGCTCCCGCACCTTTCGCCACCCTCCCGAGCCACTTCTAGCCCGTGGTTTTCGCCTACTTCGTTTCTGCCTATTTTAACCTCGTTATTCTGTCATCCAGTAGTCGTCCACACTACATTCTGTACATCCAGTTCGCCTGTGAAACCCGCACACTGGTAGCCGCAGAAATGCTCCGCACCCCAGTTCACCGGGCAAAACACACAAAGCTCAACGGTCATAAATTTTGGCTCCACAGCTCTAGCTTTGCATCACAAAAATGTGCTAGTCACTTATCATCTCGAGTTCCCATGTGCTAGCAAAGCTAGGCTCTTGGTTTTGGGCGACGAGCGTCTAAAACTTCAGAGCGGAACGGATGAAAACAGGCGTCTACCGAGCGACGACTGGCTCCGAAGCGCTATCAACCAAGCCCGGTTTATTCGTCAAAGCAGGGATTTCTCGTTGTCAACCAAGCAGAGAAGTCTAAGAGCAAGGTAGTTAGTAACAAATAATTAGCCTGCTATTCTTTTAACTACTAGCTCAAAGATCACGTTGACGAGAGACAGACGGGGTAGGGGTAGAGATTTTCTTAAACCGGTTACAGGTAGGGGTAAGGGAACGGCGATGGACCGAGGAAGGGAGAGGGAGAAGAGGGGAGGAGAGAGGGAGAGGGAGAGGGTAAGGGAGAGGGAGAGGGAAAAGGAGAGGGAACTGAGGGAGCGACCGAGAGTGATGGATATGGAGAGAGATAGGAGCAAAGAGAGAGAGCGAGAGCGGGAAAAGGGGTGGGAGGGAAGAAGCGAGGCGAACGGGGAGGAACCGCGTGGGATGCGCGAAGAAGGGAGGGGAGAGCGGGATAGACGGGAGCTGGAAGTCAAGAGGAGCGGAGAGGGGAGGGGAGAGGGGAAGGGAGAGGGGGAGAGGCGGGAGTTGGAATTTAGGAGGAGCGGAGAGGGGAGGGGAGAGCGGGAGCGGGAACGGGAACGGGAGGAAAACCGGGAGAAACGAGTGAGGGAGGAGGGGAGGGAGAGAATAAGGGAAGGAGAACGTGGAAATGAGCGAAGCAGAAATTGGGACAAGGATCGTGATGGGGATAAAGATAGGGATAGGGATAGGAACGACCGAGGTGGAAGAACAGAGAAAGTCTTACAGGAGAGAGAGGGAGGTTGGGACGACCGGCGAGTAGAAAGGGACAGGAAAACGCGTGGAGGCACGGACGTCCGTGGAAGCAGGGACAGGGACATTCGAAGCGGTGACAGGGACGTTCGAAGCGGTGAAAGGGACATTCGTAGCGGTGACAGGGATATTCGAAGCGGTGACAGGGATAGGGGGTTCCGTGTTGAAGGGAAAGACAGAGGTGATAAGGAGGTTTGGGGCACAAGCCGCGATAAGGATAGGGATTTACCTAGAAGTGGTTCCCGAGACGCGGTCAGAGGTAGGCTGGAGAGGTGGAGGGAGAGAGTAAGGGACGACGAGGGGACGGGGGCCAAGGGTAGGGAGAGAGGATCGAGCTTCTCTGAGGAAGGTTCTGAGGAAGGTTCCATGGACCGAAAGCGAAGGGCGGAGCACAGGAGGGAGGAGAGGCAGGAGGGGAGGGAAGAGGGGAGGAAAGAGGGGAGGAAAGATGAGAGGAAGGAGGAGAGGGAGGAGAGAGGTGGGGGGGAATATTCGAGTGATGAGGGTCAACGGAAGAGAAAGGAGGAGAGGAGGAAGGAGAGGGGTGGCATGGAGAAAGAGTTTTCAGACAATTCTCCTGCCAAGGCTGCAGCATCGTCTGCTTCTGATGACGACGATTCACGTGGCACTGCGGAGAAAGACGAGCGGAAGATGATTCCACATCGAAGCCCCAAGCGACCCAGGACGGACAGCAAGGCGAACGGCGCACAGAAACGTGAAGGGAAGAGCTTAGAGAACCGCGAGGGGAGCAGCCCTGCCAAGGGCAAACCGGTCGCTTCAACTAAGTCCAAGGACCCTCCTGCGAGTGCATTCCCCCCTGCAACTGCATCGCCCCCTGCGCCTGCTGGAGATGCTTTGCCCCCTGAGCTAGCGGCGCTGGTGAAAGCTCGTCTCGCTGCTGCCAAGGCGGGCGCGCTCTGCACCTCCGCCGCCTCCTCTCCCGCCTCCCTCCCCCCCACCGCTTCCACTCCTTCTGCTGGTTCTGCTGCTGCACTGCTCCCCCCTCCTGCTGCCTCTGTCAGTGCTGGCGGTGGTGGGTTCAACAAGGCTATGCAGGCAGCAGCGGCTGTAGCGGCGGCTGCTGCTGCCGCTGCTCGCATTGGTGCCAGCATCCAAGCTTCTGCTGCCAGTGGTGTGTCTGCCAGTGGCGCTGCTGGTGGCGGTGCTACAGCTAGCTTTTCAACGGTTACATCCGGTGCTTCTGGTGTTACGTCTGGCGTGTCCGGTGTTACATCTGGCTTCTCTGGTGTTGCGGCTACAGCTGGTGGCGGGATAAGTGTGAACCCTGCAGCGGCAGCAGCGGCGGCAGCAGCAGCACAGATGGTTGCAGCAACAAGAGCAGCGGCAATGGGTGAGTGACGGGGGGAGGTGGGTGAGTGAAAGGGGGCGGTGAGTGGGTGAAGGGGGGAAGGTGGGTTAAGGGGTGAGGTTCGTGAGTTTTGGGGCAGCAGCTCAGATGGCTGCAGCAACGAGAGCAGCGGCGATGGGTGAGTAACGGGGGGAGGGGATTGAGTCTAGGTTTTATTTGTGTTACGGCTACAGCTGTTGGGATAAATTTGAACCTTGCGGCGACGGCAGCGGCAACAGTGGCAGCTCAGATGATTGCAGCAACGACAAATGAATGCAGAGAGCGCGCGCTCCCACTTGGAGCTGTCCATTGTCATCGAGACCACTGATCGCCACACACAGAACGTGTGCTAGGGGAATGTTAGAGGGAGGGAAGGTCAAACGGTAGGAGGAAGGTAAAAGATGTACACTGACAGGTGAACGTGGAGAGCTCGCACTTCCACCTGGTGCTATCCATTGTCATCGAGACCATTGATCGCCAGAGACAAAGCGTGTTATCCCGGCAATGAACAGCACCAGGTGGGAGCGTGAGCTCTGCGCGTTCATCTGTCAATATACATCTTTTACCTTCCTCCCCTCTTTTACCTTCCTTCCCTCTCACCTTCCTCCGGCACACGTTCTGTGTTTACCAATCAGTGGTCTCAATGACAATGAATAGCACCAAGTGGAAGCTCGAGCTCTTTGCATTAGTCAACATCCATAAATGTGAACCCTGCAGTGACAGCAGCGATAGCAGCCTTTTCCTGCTTCTCATTTTCCTGCAACGGCTGCCACTACAGCTGCCGCAGCCCCAACGTGCCCCGTACTAGCAGCAGCGTTGTCTTATTCTCTAATCCTCAAGTGCACCAGTTTGAGAGCCAGAGTTGTCAGTCGCTCCCACGCTTCTGGAACGAGAGCCCAGGCTTGAGAGACATAGCCCAGGTCTTCTACTCAATTGTTCAGAACCTTCTGTCTCATCCCGCTGCCCTCTGTGTCTCCGTTGCTGCCCTTTCCTTCCTCGCCGCCCGCTGTTTTTGCCCAGTGAGCAAAGGCATTGGAGGAGCCGCAGGGAGCAACGTTGCTGGAGGGGCGGCTGCAGCGGCGCTCGGAAAGACTGGGATGACGGCAGAGGAGAAGAGGAAGCTGCTGTGGGGCTCAAAGAAGGTCAGGCGCGGTTGAGAGCGGTTGAGAATGGTGATTTATTGGTTCGAGGGCGGTTGAGAATGGTTGGCAGGAATTGAGTTGAGAGTGGTGGGAAAGGTGAATCAGAGGTCAGAGAGGGGACAGAACGGTTGAGAGTGGTTAAAAAGAAGTGTAAGTTGTGTCGTGCGATTGGTAGGCTCTCATCTCGTGTATGCCACGAACTCCCTAGGCTCATGTGAGCTCAGTATCTACCTCTGGAACGCTTGTATGCTATCTGCCTCTATGTGTCTAGTGACTCTAGTCCATTTCGCTGTCATCTAACACTCTTTCCCCCCCTCACGCTCCCAGACGGCACACTCCCTGTCACCCACCCTCCCCTTGCCCCTTTCCAGGACTCTGCACCAGCTGCTATGGCTCCTGCTGCTGCTGTTGCCGCACCGCCTGCTGCTGCTGATTCTGCAGGGCCAACTGGTGAAGGAGCGACCGGCATGACTGGTGCAGCTGGCGCAGTTGGTGTGGGTGCGACTGGTGTGGGAGGGGTTGGTGGCAGCAGCAGCAAGGGGTGGGAGAACGTGCATTTTGGGGATCGGAGCCGAGAAGAGAAGTTTCAAAAGCTCATGGTAAAGTTTCATTCAAAGGCTCATGCTAAAGTTTCATTCAAAGACTCATGGTAAAGTTTCATTCAAAGGCTCATGGTGAAGTTTCATTCAAAGGCTCGTGGTGAAGTTTCATTCAAAGGCTTGTGGTGAAATTTCATTCAAAGGCTCGTGGTGAAGCTTCATTTGAAGGCTCATGGTGAAGCTTCATTCAAAGGCTCATGGTGAAGTTTCATTCAAAGGCTCATGATGAAGTTTCATTTGAAGGCTCATGGTGAAGCTTCATTCAAAGGCTCATGGTGAAGTTTCATTCAAAGGTTCATGGTGAAGTTTCATTCCAAGGCTCGTGGTAAAGTTTCATTCAAAGGCTCATGGTGTTTCATTCAAAGGCTCGTGGTGAAGCTTCATTCAAAGGCTCGTGGTGAACTTTCAAAAGTTTCTGTTTCGTGTGATGTGCTGTTGTTGCAACATTCAGGTGCAAGATACACGTGGGCCCATTTCTGTCCCCCCTCCTCCCCTCTCCAGTTTTGAGACGTCTCAAAACTACACGTGGGTCCATTTCTTTCCCCCCTCCTCCCCTCTCCTCCATGGGTTGCTGGTCCTGCCATGCAGGGATTAAAGGACGGCAAGCCAGCTAATCTAGTCTACCCTGTGCCAACCTCTTCCCTCCTAAGCTAGCCTCCCCCTCCCTGACTCACCTCTGCTCTTCCCTCCTACGCTAGCCTCCCCCTCCCTGACTCACCTTTGCTCTTCCCTCCTCCACACGTCCCATGTGCCTCGTGAGTCGCGGTGGTGTGCAGGGGTTGAAAGGAGCGAAGGCAGCACCAGCCATGCCAGCAGCTGCTGCAGATTGCACAGACTTATCCAATCTTCCGTATGCTACCTCCCTGCCTGCCCATCCCCTTTTTTTCTTACCTTCGCCATGCATCCCTGTGCCCTGGCGTGCCGTGCAGGGGTTGAAGGGAGCAAAGGCAGCTGCAGCCACGGCAGCAGCAGCAGCAGCAGATGCACCAGTGGGGGTGGTGATGTCGGAGGAAAAACAGAGGGAGCTACAGGAGCAGCTGGAGCGACAATACGTGGCTGGGCTGAGGCGAAAGGATGGGAGGACCGTGGGTCTGGGGCTTTAAGGGAGGTGTTGAGAGTGCGTTGCAAGTAGAGAGGCAGAGGGGGCTACAGGAGGAGCTGGAACGGCAGTATGTGGCTGGGCTGAGACTTTTGAGTGGACTCAAAGATGACTTTTGAGTCGACTCAAAAGGGGAGCTACCGGACGGAGGAGCTGCAACGGCAGTATGTGGCTGGGCTGCTGAGATGCAAGGGCGGGGGAACGGTGAACCTTAGTCTGTAGGCGGGTGGTACTGTGAGTGAGGAGGTTGTGGAGACGAGACGAGAGACTTCTGAGTACCTATCCTCAAAAGGGATTGCAAGGGGGGTAATACTGTGCCTGAGGGACATTGAGGAAGTGACTGGAGGGACATTGAGGACATTGAGGCAGAACGATGTTGGAGGAGCGGCTGGAGCAGAGCGGCAGAATGTTGCTGGGCAGTGGCTGAGTGTGGGCCTCGGGCTTCGAGGTAGGTTGGGTGAGGTGCGTTGAAACAAGTTGGAAAGGCTGCGAGACGCATGCATGAGGAGCTGGTTGGGGCTGCGGCAGGGAACTAGTGGGCTGGGAATCTGGGATTGTGAAAGATGATTTTGAAAGAAATGAAGTTTGCGAAGGCGGTAGTGATTGGTTGGTTGGAAGGGCGGTGGTGTGTGATAATCACCGGGATATACCAGCCTATGGCCTTACCTACGGTACATCAATTTTTCTCGTGAGCATGTTGTTTCAGTCAAGTGTACGAATTCCCTTAAAAATAGGGAAAATATGCCATAAGTAACCAACTTGGACTCGATAAATTGAATGGTAATAAAAACAAGCGTACGGTCACTGTCTCGGGTTTTCTGACGGGTTTTGTAAGTGGGGTCACGGATTCAGTCACTAACAACAGGTAAAAAATCACGCGAATGGTCACACATGTAACTCCCGCCAAAAAAAACTTGAAACTCGACAAAATTCCCGCTTGCGCTCAACCAATCTGCTAACTTCTAAAAAACTAAAACCCAATCGGAATCGGATGCGGTTTGGGAACGGATCAACCCTAAACACCTGGCGAGTTATGTGTTTAGGGTTGATTCATCCGAAAATGCATCCAGGTTCCTTATGGGTTTCATTTTGTTTTGGTGGGAGTTTCATCTACATGACCATTCACGTTTTTTTTTTACGAGTTGATAGTGACTGATTACGTGAAACGTTTTATCAGTCGCGTGAAAACACCATTTGCAGTGACCGTACCCTTTATTTTTTTACCAAAAATGTTGGTTACGAATGACATATTTTCCCCAAAAAATGTGTCTGCATGGCATTCTACAGTGTTGATTCACCACAGCACTGTGCTTGCTTGCCCCTACATGGCACACTTCACACATGATATCTAGAGCAGCAATACCCCCTTTGAGCCACCTCGAAAGTCACAAATGAATTCAAATGATTGTTACACAACAGTGCACCCCCTCTCTATGCCTTCCCTTGCCTCGATGTTTTGAGAATTATTGAGCAATCTAATTACACTGTGGCTGCACTTTCTAGTTGAAACGTCTCATGATGCATCTCCTGTGTGTCTATCGTGCAGAGGACGCAGAGTAGTAGCAGCAGCAGTAGCAGCAGCAGCAATAGCAAGGCGCCATTACTACAACTGTCGAATATCTCCTCATCTCCGCATGCAGCAGAGGAACGGCAGCAGCAACACGAACGCACCCGACACCACAGCCATTTTCTGCCATGCGTTGAGCCACACACCCAGAAATGCCAATAGCAGCAGCCCTGAAGCATACAGCAGCAACAGCGCTGCATGTATGCTGCAGGTGGGTGTGGGAATGAGTGTTCACTGTAGCATGCAGCAGAGGAACGGCAGCAGCAGCAGGAACGCACCAGACATCACAGCCATTTTCTGCCACGCCTTCAAGCACACACCCAGCAGCGCCAGCAGCAGCAAGCGGCCCTGGCGGCCCTGCCACACACATTAGCAGCAACACTGCAGCAGCAACCCCTTATTGGGTGAGTGAGACCATCCCACCCCCCACCTCCTCATCTCCGCATGCAGCAGAGGAACGGCAGCAGCAACACAAACGCACCCGATATAACCGCCATTTTTTGCCAGGCCTTCAGCCACACACCCAGCAACGCCGACAGCAGCGGTCCTGAAGCATACCCTGCAGTATACGCCAAATTGAACATCCCCACTGCAAGCGCCACGTCAGATGAGCCTTCCCCAGTTGCCGCCCGCTTGTCCAGCGCCTGGATTATACACGGCAGGCTGGGGAACTCCACTAACGAGTACGCCACTCCTGTGAGAGCTATTAATGGGTATAAAACGTGCAGCTGGCATGACACCCCCGGGATGACCAGGAGAGGGAGCGTCGCGGCGAGTGTGGCGGCCCCGAGCGTGATTGTAGCGGGGGGACCTAGTTTCCGGATGAGGTAACCACCGAAAGGAGAGAGAAGAGCGCGTAAGAAGCACCATTGATTCCCATGGATATGCCGATCTCGGACGGGGAGTGGTCGCAGGTGTTATCTAGGAAGAAAGAGACGGTGACCTCTAGGAGCCCGTTGGAGAGGGTTTGCAGGAAGGTGAGGGCGAGCAGGGTGGCTGACGTGCTGTCGGTGAGCATTGTGGCGAAGAGACGGAGCGCTGACAGCCGTTGATTCGGGCGGTGGTGCTTGGGGTTGGTGTGATCGACGGCTGGGGGTTGGTGGGTGTGTTTGTGCTTCTGCTTCTGGTGGTGCTGCAGTTGCTGCTCCTGCCGCGCTTGGACCTTTGCTGATGGGACGATTAGCTGCTGTTGGGGTGTCACCTGCTGCTGCTGCTGCTTCACGTGCGGTTGCTGTTGCTGTTGCTGTTGCTCCTCGTTTTTCTCCATCTGCTGCTGCTGTCTCGGGCTTCCCATGCCTACTACCCCGATTTCCACATGCCCTCTTTCCGCGGATCCTAGGGGAGAAAGGGGCACGTCCGCCGCTGCTGACCTGGATGAGGACCGTGCTGACGTGGAGCGTGTGAGGGAGGAGCTTCTGGAAGGAATGGCGAAGATGGGAGCGCCTCGGTACACGACGGGGCGTTCTTGCTCCGACACCTGTAGCTGCCACGTCGGCAAGCTATCCGTTAATGGCACTTCCGGTATATTACCCCCTCCTATAGCACCATTGTACTCGATATTGTCCCGATCTCCGCCGTACCCGATATAAGCTCCTCCCGAACCGCCATTCGCCTTCGCAGCAGCTACAGCAGAAGCTACACTTTCCACGTCAGCGACTTTATTGCGGCGCCGGTCGCCGCAGCAGCAGGGGAGGACGAAGAGGAGGAGGAACAGCAGCGCCGCGTCAATCCCGAGGGAGAAGAGGAACGGGACGGACGGCGACCCGAACTGGAAGAGGAACGTCATTGTAACGGGGCCAGCGACTGAGCCCACCGCCGCCCACGCGAACAGCATCGCGACCGCGCCGAACAGCAGCTCCCGCCCGCCTAATGCGGCCGCCGCGGTCTTTGGCGCTTCGGTGGCGGCGGCGCTGGCGGCGCCGGATTTTCCCTGCTGGGGGGATGATGCTGACGTGGCGGATTCCGGTTTTCCGCCTGTTGTGTTGGGCGCGGCGGCTAGCGCGGGAACGAGGTCGGAGGGATGCGGGGAGAGTGCGCCATCTTCCCCCGGAAGCACCTGCGGAAGCTTCTCTGCGGAGGCGGCGGAAGCGGAAGCGGAAGCGGAAGCGGAAGCCGAAGCGGAAGCGGAAGGGGAAGGAGAAGGGAGCTCGGAAGGGCTGTGCGCGTGCGTGGCGAAGGAAAGCGCGCCTGCGCGCACTAGCTGCGTGCAAATCCCTTGTAGCATGAGCGCTCCAGCCAACCATAGCGGGCCCGCGGGATACGCGAGCAGCACGAGTGTCGCGGCGTAGAGCAGCAAAGTCACCGTTAGCCCGCAAAACGCGGTGACGCAGGAGAGCAGCGGGCAGGCGGGCAGCGCGAAGAGAATGGCGGCTGTGGACCGGCCCGCGAGGAGAAGGGTTGAGGAGGTTTCGGGCAGGTGGAAAAGTTTGGCGAAGGACGGGAGGAGCGGCGCGATGGAGCTGACGTTGAACTGATCGAAGAACATTGAGCCTGCAGAAAAAGGAAACGCGGGGAGGAAGGGAGTGAGAGAGGGGAAAGGATGAGGGGAAGGTAAGGGAACACCAAATCAGCAGGGGGAGCGGCGCGATGGGCTGACGTTGAAGTGGTCGAAAAACATGGAGCCTTGGTGCAGGCGGAAACGCGAAAGTGAAGGAAGTAAGGGGGGAGGGGAAGGTGGGGGAGTGGGAGAGGGGAAACGATGAGAGGAAGGTGGCGGAAGGCACGGGCGAGCTGTAGGAGCGGCGCGATGGAGGTGCCGTTGAATCAGTCGAAAACATCGAGCCTAGGGAGGGGGAAAAGGGGAGAGTGTAGGGGGGAAAAGCCTGGCAAGGGGGAGGAAGGCAGAAGAGGGCAGTGGGGAAAAGGGAGAGCGTGGCTTAACCGAGGCAGCGACGAAAGGGAAAATGGCTGGAAGAGGGGAAAGGTGCTGCACAGCATTGAAGAAGTGTTTTGAGACGTCTCAAAGCAGAGCAAGCAGCAGGGGCAAGTCAAGGGGGAAATGTCAAGCCCGTCGAGTCGCACGACCACCTGCAACCGGCGGCCCGGCGTTTCCTGCTCTACGCAACGGCCTACGGGGAAATGGCCGACCCGACAGACTCGACAGCCCGCAGTTCGCGCGCTCGTCGTAACTGGGCGCATAGACGGGTCAGATGCGTTCAGATGAATTCTGGTGAGATACTTCTGAGAAGTCTACGAAACACGCAAGAGAATATGCGCTGAATAAATAGAAGGTAGACGATATTTGAGAGCCTAGTAACGAGTATTGCACGTGCCGGTGGTCGGGGAAGTACTAAAGGGGTGTCCCAAACGTATTACCTGCTAGTAGTCGAAGTAGGCACATGTCTTTACTCGATAGCCCCGCGTTTCTCACGCTCGAGCCGCTCATCGCAACTGTTTTAGAGGCGTCTCCTCTACTTTTCAGGAACTCTAAGTTGCACTAAACGATAGAGCACAGTCTTGGCTTTCCAACAAGCCGTCAAACACGTTAATCGCCCAAGTATACGCCGAGATATTGGCGTTCACGTGATTGCTAGTGCTCTTAGAAGCAAGGATAGACCTCTCTGGAATTTTGGTTCGAATGGACCATGTACAAGAAGATTCAGGATTTCAGTATAAAGCATGCATACAAGGCAGGTCGATTTATAGCAAATGCATTACATCGAACCGCACATGTAGCATCACATCGCTACACTCGCGTCGCGAATGCGCCGCGTGTAACATTTCGGTTGGGGTGAAATTCGACCACCGAATTTCACACCGAACACACCGAATTCGCCTTGCACTTGAAGGTTGGAATGTGGTGCCGCCACGTGGCACCGAAGGGTGAGTCTCCCGAAGTCAATCGGTGCCACCCCACCGATCCCTAGTCAAAGGGATCGAAGGCACCGAAGTGCCCTCGGTGGGTTGGGGGCATACCACCGCCCCACCACCGTTTCCTTCCAACAGCAACTTCCGCTGCTGCTTCAGCGGGAATCACGGCGGTGGAGCCGTTATCCTTTCGTGAGCCTCCATGACTCTCGCGTCCCGCATTCGCGGCTGCTTCTCTGGCCGTAGATGCGCTAGCAGACTGAACGGATTCTCTTAGAGTCTCCGCCAATGTCATTTTATCCCAGTAGCCTTTTCACTAGGCCGACTAATCGCCCTCTACAAGTCGAGTAGACCCCCTCGACAGTCGATGACCAAAGTGGAACAACCAATGCGTAGTACGCTTCGCTTTCCTACGGAAGTACCTTTTTCTTCCCCGAAGGTTCTCTAAGCAATAAAAAGGCCAAAGTAGTAGGCCGCCCGACTGCTTGCCCTTTCTTGTCAAAGCGTGTCAGGCGTTTCAAGAATTCCAAGCTCCCTACCTAGCAAAGAGTATCAAATGAAAAAAAATGAGATTTCGACGCAGCTCAGGTTTCGCAGTTTCCCCCTGCTCGCTCTCTTCCAAGGAACAATGGGTTGCGCAACGAACCTCCGCTGCACTCCTCGATCGTCTAATCTCGCGTGGAACACACGAGGTCAAGAATTCCGCGAATTCTCACTCATGTGGTAGAATCTGCTCGTTTTTGCAAGAATAACACGTATGACTAACAAAGCTGCTCAAGAAGCAGTAGAGGCAGCAGGTATAATTGTTGTGCGCCTAGTCTGAGGTGCCTTCCGCGCGTTCTGATTTCCTTGCCCACTCATTCGAACTCACAAGCCAAATGACGACGGCTCCAATTGCTATTGACGAACATAGGGGTGCAGAGCGGTACTAGCTGATTTCTTGTTTGAAATAAACTGGACATTGTATGCCGTGTGCTGCGAGAGCTCGCATCCATCGTTGAATCGCGTTCTTCCAAGGCTGATCGACGGTGCATGTGCAACACGGCAGACGCGACTCGCAATTATTGAAGTGGCGAGGTGATAGGAAAGCAGATTGAAGGCCAGGCCGTTCTGAGAAAACCCCTGCTATAGAGGTGAGATCCTACTGCGTATTATGCAATGAGATCCCACCAGTTGACTTCGAGGTATATAGTAACAGTTTCATCAAATTTAGAAAGAAAAGGTTATTTATAGGTCATGAGGGTCAATGTATAATGTACGGGTACCAGAAACAAATTTTGAGGCTCATATTGATATTCAGATAAAGCAGTAGCATACCACAAGAACTTTGACTTAATGTATTAATATTCATACACCATTCTAAAACCAATCACACGTCATCCAAAAACTGGATGAAAGAAGCAAGCTCCTCCTCGCTCACATACCTCGCTGCACTACCAGGAAGAAGTGCAGGTCCACCACCTGTGCCAACACCACCGGCATCACCAGATTTCGCAGCACCAGCAGTTGCAGCAGCAGCAGTTAATACAAGAATGTCACCAGAATCATCATCAGCACAAGGTTCTTCAGCACCAGGGACACATGAGGGGTCAGATGCACATTCCGTGGTGCCAGCATCACCATCCGCCTTTGCAGCACGCACAACAGCAGGTTCAGGTGCCACAGCAGCCGGTTCAGGTGCCACAGCAGCCGGTTCAGGTGCCACAGCAGCCGGTTCAGGTGCCACAACAGCAGGTTCAGGTGCCACAGCAGCCGGTTCAGGTGCCACAGCAGCAGGTTCAGGTGCCACAGCAGCAGGTTCAGGTGCCACATCAGCAGGCTCAGAAGCTGCACCTGCAGGTTCAGAATCCACAGCTGCTGGTTCCGATGGCACCATTGCAGGTACCGATGCAGCAGGTGCAGGTTCATGTGCCACAGGTGACACAGCAGCAAGTTCAGGTGGAACATCTGCAGGAGCTGCAGCTGCTGGTGTCGATGCCGCCGTTGCAGGTTCAGATGCAGCAGGTGCAGGTTCATGTGCCACAGGTGACACAGCAGCAAGTTCAGGTGGAACATCTGCAGGAGCTGCAGCTGCTGGTGTCGATGCCGCCGTTGCAGGTTCAGATGCAGCAGGTGCAGGTTCATGTGCCACAGGTGACACAGCAGCAAGTTCAGGTGGAACATCTGCAGGCTCGGATGCTGTAGCTGCAGGTTCATGCGCCACAGCAGCAAGAGGATCACTTGCAGGTGACATAGCAGCAAGAGGATCACTTGCAGGTGACATAGCAGCAAGAGGATCACTTGCAGGTGACATAGTAGCAAGAGGATCACTTGCAGGTGACATAGCAGCAGGAGGATCACTTGCAGGTGACATAGCAGCAGGAGCATCAGCTCTGGCCACGTCCGCTACCAATACCTTCTCCTGGTAGGTAGCCTCCTCTCCCTTCTCTTCTGCACCCTCCTCTGCCTTGTCCTTTTCTGCAACCTCCCCTCCCTTCTCCTGTTCTGTGCCCTCCTCTTCCTTCTCCTCTTCTGTACCCTCCTCTGTCTTGTCCTTTTCTGCAACCGGCTTTCCCTTCTTCTCCGTACCCTCCTCTTCCTTCTCTTCTGTTCCCACCTCTCCCTTCTCCTCTTGTGTACCCTCCTCTCCCTTCTGCTCTTCTGTACTGTCCCCTTCCTTCTCTTCTATACCCTCCTCCTCCTCCTCCTCCTCCTCCTCCTCCTCCTCCTCCTCCTCCTCCTCCTCCTCCTCCTCCTCCTCTCCAGGAAGCCTAATCCCTTCTGTCTCTCTGTCGCTCTCTGCTTTCTTTCCGTCTGCTTGCCCTTCCGCTTCCAGTATGCACCCCTTCAGCCCCTCATCCCTTGCTTCGTATGTGCTTCCAGACCCTTTACCATCAGCACCAGCAGGACCACCAGTATCAGCACCAGCCCCAGCAGCAGAAGCAGCAGCAGCATCAGTATCAACACCAGCAGCACCATCAGCACCAGCACCAGCACCAGCACCAGCACCAGCACCAGAAGCACCACCAGCACCAGCATCACCACTACCACCAGCACCAGCATCCTCCTACTCCTCCTCCTCTTCCTCGTCCTCTAGAATCACCCGTCGCCTCTTCGCCTTGTGCTTCGCCCCTGCACCCACACTGCCAGTGGTACCCTTTCGAGCCTCTGCTGTGGTGTCCGCAAGGGCCTCTGCCGTGGTGCCCGCGCCCAAATCACCAGGGGCAGCCACAGGATGACCTTTGAGTCGACTCAAAAGCCTCTTCGCCTTGCGCTTCACGCCTGCACCCACACTACCAGGGGTGTCCCTTGGGGACTCTGCTGTCGTGCCCGCGCCCATGTCATCCTCCATAAGAGCATCCTCACTATCTTCAGTGGGCAAATGAGGGTCTGCAGTAGCAGCAGCCCCGTGGGGCTGAGCGGCGGCTGCAGTGGCAGCTGGAGTGGCAGATGGGGTGACAGCTGGCGGTGACTTCTCTGGGCTTAACTTCACGTCAGCACTTACCGCGTCACCACCTGCCACGTCAGCCTCTTCTACGCCAGTCTTCCCGTCTTTTTGGTCCCGTGAACCAGCATCCGCATCAGGGTCTTCATCAGGTTTTCCGTCAAGGTCGCTGTGATGGTTGGGACTTATTCGACCACTGTTGCTGCTTGCGCGTGGGCTATTGTTGCTCTGCTCCCCCTGCCAGGCGGGCCCTTGAGTCGCCTTGACACCATCATGCCCACTATCATTCTCCCTGCCACCTACACCGTGTTCCCCACCACCATTGGCACCGCCACCATTGGCAGCAGCAGCAGCAGCACCATCGGCACCAGCAGCACAAGTGCCCGCAACGCCACCATTGGCACCAGTAGCACCACCACCAACCCCGCCATTCCCAAAGCCCCAGTCATCATCCCAAGCACCTCTTAGCCCAGGAAATTCGTCATCACGCTGCTCCTCCTCTGCTTCACCCGCAGTGCCATTGGCAGCAGCAGCCCCATTTGCAGCAGCAGCACCATTGGCAGCAGCAGCGGCAGTGGCAGCAGCAGCAGCACCAGCGGCAGCAGCACCAACATTGGCAGCAGCAGCACCAGTGGCACCACCAGTAGCAGCAGTGGCACCAGCAGTAGCACCACGACCAGCCCCCCCATTCCCAAAGCCCCAGTCATCATCGTCATCATCCCAGCCACCGCCAAGCCCAGGGAATTCGTCATCACGCCGCTCCTCCTCCGCTGCACCCGCAGTGCTGCCATCCCCACCACCGCCTTCCCCATCACCTGTGCCGCCATCCGCTGTGTTTTTGAATCGGTTGCTGCCGATGCCCCTTCCGTGCTCGAAGTCGTCGACCAAGTCACGAATGCCGGCCTGCACACGGGTTGTGGTGGAGATGACATGGTAGGTTCAGAGGGAGGTACTTTTCTAGGCGCCTAAAACAACGTGCCGATGCCCCTTCCGTGCTCAAAGTCGTCGACCAAGTCACGAATGCCAGCCTGCATATGGGAGGTGGTGGAGATACATTTTCATGCGCCTAAAAAAGGGTTTCAATGCCTCTCCCGTGCTCAAAGTCGTAGACCAAGTCACGAATGCCAGCCTGCACACGTAGGCGACGGCGATGACATGGTAGGTTTAGAGGGGTATCTTCTTAGGCGCTTCAAATATCGTCTCGATGCCCCTCCCGTGCTCAAAGTCGTCGACCAAGTCACGAATGCCGGCCTGCACATAGGAGGTGGTAAAGATGGCAGAATGGGTTGAAGGGATATTATTTGAGTCACCTTACGAATCGTTTCAATGCTCCCGTGCTATAAGTAGTGGATTGCAAACGGCAGCCTGGATATGTGGTGGACATGACACGGTACATGTTGAGTGTCGTGCAGATGTAACTGTGTGTTCGGAGCGAATGATACGACTGTTAGAGGGCCCTACGACAGCAAGGGCCCTCGATGACCTTTGACTTGGCAGGTCGGCGCCTAACGACTGAGTCTACTCGGCACCGACGCACGAGTTCGGTGGCGGTCATTAGTGACTACGGGTGACTGTGAGCTACTGCAGCGAACTCGGCGGAATCGGTGCTAGGAATGACGAGTCTTGGGGGTCGTAGGTGCCTTGCTTGTGAGGCACGCTGCTCACTTGCTGTGTTGGCAGGAGTAGCGTGCACGGTGAGACATTCCGGTGCCGAGTTGGGTTGGAAATGTGCGGGGCGCGTTCACCCACCTGCACAGCACTTTCGTGTGGGTTGGGTTACTCGCAGCGCCACGCAACAATTGTGCAACTCTTGCTTGCCTATATATGTTTGTGTTTGCTTGTGTGTTTAATAATTGATATTGCAATTCTACTTGGCCCAAATGCTACTTCAATTCTCACAAAGTCCTTAGAGGCAAACGCTACCAAAACTCTACCAAGTTGCTGGCGCAACATCATTCCCATAGCAGAGACTCTCTCGCTATCGCTACGCTCTCTAATATATTCCTTCATGGTGCGGTGAGCGTGGAACGAACGCGCATAGATTTCCGTCGTCGTTGATATTCGCGTTCGTATACTCGCCTTGGCGTGCGGCGTTAGTGAAGGGCGCTTATTAATCTAAGTTGAACCTCTCTTGATTTCCCTCCAGTTACGTTCTCGGACCCAAGGATAGGGCGTTTGGTAATTTATTACCACTCGTCTGAGGACCCTTGTGAGGTGACCCCGAGACGAGGGATTTAAGGAAGGGGCACTTTATTTTAATTTGTGGTACCTTATAGAGACGTCGTAGAGGATGAGTACAGAGGAGGCGAACGTGGAGGCCGGTAATTTGCGCGCCCTAGAGGAGGATCTCGTGGCTCGTCATTCTCGTGGTGAGATTAGTGATATCGAATACGAGCTAATGTTGGAGGGATTGCGCTCGCGTCGGCGTCGTGAGCACCCTTCGCCACGTGTAGAGAATGTTGAGCAAGTTGCGGGAGCTACTAGTGCGTGGGATATGGCTGTCGATGGCGGAAATAGCGATGACGAGGAGTTTGATGGGTTGATGTCGCGTGGGGTCCTGCGAGGACCAACTCGGTTTAGTACGGCTAGCGTTGGCGGTGTACAGGAGCGTGTTCATCGTGCAGCAGCGTCACGAGAGCATGCGAATGTAGGACGGCGGAGCGTTGCTGGAGGAGGAATTGCGGAAGAGTTCGATAGTGAGGCTATGCCGGGCGTTACCCCGATTGGATCGATGTCGAGGGACGAGGGAATAGCCCCCAACTATGGCTACTTCAGATTCACTCCAGACAAGATCGTTGTCACTAGGCCGTTAGAAGGACGTCACGACCTGTCGACGTGGACAGAATCAATCGAGCCGCAGCTTGAGATCGCTCAGCTAAAGCGATTCATAGATGGCACCACCCCCATTCCACCAGCGCGTGCGCTTGCGCATCTCTCTCAGTTCCGCGCGATGCAGTTGCTGACATTCACCACCATTTCCCGATGCTGCTCCCCAACCGTACAGATCGCCCTTAAGGCGTGTCGCATGAAGGTCGATGCCGGCTATCAGGCATGGCAGTTTATTATGCGCACGTACATGGCGAAGGACGATCTGTACATCGGTCAGTTAGAGCAAGCGCTCACTAACCTCGAGATGGGAGAGCACGAGTCCGCTACGTCCTATTGCAACCGTGCGCAGCAGATCCTAGTGAACCTGAGGATGGCCGGCGTAGATTACTCGCAGGCGTCGTACATCACTCACGTTGTGAAGGGGTTGCCGCAGCAGTACAACCTCTTACGCAGGATGCTGAAGTTGCCGCAGGTTCGCAAGGAGTTGGACGAGGACACCCTCGCTAGCTACATCATCGAGGAGGAGTGTACGCTGGCGGCAGAGGGACGAAAGGACCAATTTCTTCCCCAGGCTAACCAGGCCTTTACCAAGAAGGGTAAGCCCCAATTCCAGCAGACTTCATTCCCTTCCCCTCCCACTACGGCACAGCAGCAGCAGCCTAAGAATGGGGGTGGGCTTGGTGGGGGAGGGGAGAAGTGGAAAGGGGGTAAGGATGGCCAGCCGAAGGGGGGGAAAGGGGGCTTCAAGGGGAAGTGCTATGTGTGTGGACAAATAGGGCATGTTGCTAAGTACTGTCAGCAGCGGGCGGATAAGGAGGCAGACACCGGTGGAGAGGGTTCTGGAGGTAGCAGCGGAAAGGGGGGTGATGGCTCTAAGGGGAGCGGGCAGTCATCATGTGCGATGGTGAAGCCAGTTGTGGAGCAGACTCCTCTCGTTGTGCTAGAGCCTGAGGCCGGGGAGGGCTTACAGGCTGTTGCAGCTGCTGTGAAGGCGAACCCGAGCGTCGTGCTGCTTGATAGCGGATGCTCCCACCATCTCATGGGAGATCGTTCTGCCTTTGTGGAGATGAGCAGCGGCGGCAGCATTAAGCAGGTTACCGGCTTCAACGGCGCCCTTCAGGAGGTGCAGGGGCGAGGCACAGTCGCTCTTCTTGGGGAGGGGGGCAGGCGTGTCTTGGTGCCGGACGTGCTGTACGTACCAGGAGTGCAGGCGAGTCTTCTCTCTGCTGGGCAGCTGCGTGATAGTGGTGTGCAGCTGCTGGATGCCGGGGATGTGACTTTGCTGCGGGCACCAGATGGATCGCTCCTTGGTCGTGCGGAGTTCAAGGGGCGTGTTCTCTGCACGAACTTCCAGCCGTGTTCGACGCAGCAGCAGGAAGGCGAAACGGTGGCACTTCGTACCTTGGCGACGGGCGTACGGTCTAAGGGGGACCTGTGGCATGCGCGTATGGCACACGTTGGTATTGATGCCATCGAGCGCACAGCGGCTCACGGGTCAGTGACGGGCTTGGATTTGGAGAAGGGGGGCAAGTCAGGCATACCTTGTGTCTCCTGTGTTGGGGGAAAGATCACTCGTCATACCTTTCCTTCTGTAGGAGAGGAGGAGGATGAGTTGCTCGGGGTGGTGCATGCTGACCTGTGTGGCCCTTTCCGTGAAGCAGCTAAGGACGGCAGCCACTACTTCTTGGTGCTGAAGGATCGCAAGACGCGATATGTCTGGGCCTACCCTTTGGCCCAGAAGAGTGATGCGCTGGCGGCGTTCCAGAAGTGGCTCCCGATGGCAGAGCGACAGTGCAAGACCACGGTGCAGGCGCTGCGCACTGATCGGGGTGGCGAGTTCCTGGGGCACGACTTCACGCTCTTCCTCGACGGTAAAGGCATCATCCATGACCTCACATGCCCGTACACGCCGGAGCAGAACGGGATGGCCGAGAGGGAGATGCGCAGCATTGTGGAGGCGGTGCGGACGATGTTGCTGCACATGGGTGTACAGCATCACTGGTGGCACCTAGCGTTGGCTCAGGCCGTCTGGGTGCGCAACCGCGTGGAGCACGCCTCACTACCCTCTGGTGTGACGCCGTACGAGCTCGCCTTCCGACGCAAACCTGATGTCAGTATGGTGCGTGTTTGGGGCTGCATGCTGCAGTACATGGTACCACAGTCGCAGCGTGGGGGGAAGCTGGCGCCTAAGGCTCGCTGGGGGTTGCACTTGGGTGTGTCAGCTGCGAGCAAGGGCTGGACCGTGCTGGACTTGGAGTCCAACCGCCTCATCACCACTGTGGAAGCTGTGTTCTATGAGACCATGTCCCTAGCAGGATGGAAGGCTTGGCATCAGCAGGAGCATGGGGGGCGTTCGATGCCCTATGAGCCCCTTCCCTCACTCTTCCCGATCACTCTTGAGGAGGCGGAGGAGGAGGAGGAGGTGGTCGCACCTCCTGCTATGCCCTATGTCCCTACCTCGGTCCCCACCCCACCTCCGCCTTCAGTCTACCCTCGTGTGATTCCCCCTGCCCCGCCTTTTTCCTCCTCACCCCCCTTGGCTTCCCCTCCTCCTCCTGTTATTCCATCTCCCCTTCCACCCTCCATCCCTCCTGCACCTGCTCCGCCCTCTTCTTCGTCTTCCACGGCGCCGCCCGTTGGTGAGGGGGGGATGGAGGTGCCACCGTCTGTGGAGATCACCGACAGGCAGCGCCTTGAGACTGAGCAGCTGCAGGACGAGAGCAATATGGATGGAGTACAGCAGAGTGGGGGGCAGGAGACAGGGGAGCAGCAGACAGGGGAGCAGCAGATTGGGGAGCAGCAGACAGGGGAGCAGCAGATTGGGGAGCAGCAGACAGGGGAGCCGCAGACAGGGGAGCAGGAGATGTGGGGAATTAGAGATGGTGGTCGTGTGTTGGTTTCTGGGACGACCACTGCACCACTGCGTCGCTCCACTCGCATCACTCGTGGTGTCCCGCCTGTTCGATACGCTTGGGCTGTAGTGGTTGAGCCAGCGGGCTTGGATGACGAGGAGGACGAGGAGTGGACTAACCTGGACCCGGACGTGGCAGCTGATCCTGAGAGGCAGTGGGACATAGCGAAAATGACAGTGAAGGAGGCCTTGGGCTGCTGGAAGGGAGACAAGGTGAAGGAGGCGATGGATGAGGAGATGCGGAGCTTGATTGAGCAGGGGACGTGGGAGTTGGTTCCGCGTCCGCCAGGGGTG